CTAAAAAGTCCCAAATTTCTTATCGAAACTTTTTTTTAAATTTAGTTTAAAAATTTCTAAAAATAAACACATTTTTAATTCGTGCTTAATAAATTTCCTTAGTACTATATCTTCTAAAATATTTATTAATAAATAATTATAAGATTTTTATATTGTTTTGTATAAATATTATAATAGCCGGTCGTGTAAAAGTTACAAATTCCCCGAAAATGGTCAGATAAAAAAGAATATTTTACCGGATACCTGGAACTGACCGGCTAAAAGATTCATTTTTCACCGAGTACCGGGATCCGATAAATCTCTAATCCTCATATTGAACAATTTTTATGCCATTTTCATTTTGCGATCTCGAGAAAACGCTTTATCTGAGCATTTGTTCAGATTTTTATAATTTTTCGAAATATCTAAATAAATAAAAGGAGAATATTTTGACATTCATTATTCTTTTAATTTTTACATCTTAAAGAAACTGGCATTTTTTAAAATTCAAACGATTTAACGAAAAACAAACTATGCATTGACTGCATAAAGTTAAACCAAACGATTCATTTTTCTTCACTTTTTTAAAATTGTTAGTTCTAGAATTTAAAATTAAAAAAGGCTACGCAGTAGAAAGCTACATTCATACACGAAAATGCATCATGCTATACTACGTCTGATATGGGCCCGTTACTTTAACTTCTTATTTTATTTTAATTTTTTTTAATTTAAGAATACATTAAAATACTTGGAAACAAAAGAAAAACCTTTTTGTGTTTTAAAAAAACTTGAACTTACATTTATTTATTTTTCTACCCTAAAGTTGCATACATTTCCCTTTCCTGTTATAGCAGATGACATTTATAACCTAATAAAAAATCCTAAGATATAAAAGTATTAATTTCCTAATTAGGTTAGAGTTAGACTTCTCTCCTTTCTTCTTCTTGCTCTTTCTCTCTTATTCTCTCCATCTTTTTATTTATCTTCTTTTTTTTGTCAGTGTGGCTATGCATTCATTTCATTTTTGCGTCATTGCAGTCATTTTATTTCAAAATTTAAAAAAAGAATAGTTGGAGGCGTTTTCGATTTTTTTTATTATCAATTAATAACAAATTGCAAGTTTTTAAATACGTTTCTAACTTTTACGATGAATTTGTTTATTGTTAAAATATTTTAAGATACAGTAAGATGTTACAAAGAAATAGTATTGTATATAATATTAATATTTTTATAGCATATTAATGTATCTTATATATATTCGTACTTTATTTTTCTAATCAACGACTAATATTTCGAGCACTGAAATGAAGTTGTGAAATCTTGCTTTGTTGTAATTTTTACTAATTAATAATCTAAATAATACTTATATTTTATCTTATTTTACGAAATAAGTAATAACTTCCTGCCAATATTTCAAAAACAAATTTATAATAATAAAATAAATTTATAATAATTTATTCTTTCGCATGTCTTGTTTGTTTGAAGTTATTATTTCATATTCAATTACTTACAATAAATTTATTTCACAACTTCTTTTGTTCAGAAAATTAGTTCTTGAAAATAAGCGTTCAGGAATGATTTAAAGTGCATACTAAATTTATTAGCAGTTTAAATCTTTCCAGTTCTATAACGAATTAAGAATTGAAATTTATATTCAGCAATGATCTGAAACGAAGTCAATATTTCTTTCATTTTAAAATATTTGGATACCTTAACACTTTTCAAAAGTAAAATATGTGCTACTTATAAATACATAAAAACTTCTTTTGCTCTTGATTCTAATTTTCTCTCATTACATTTTTCTTTAAATTCCATAAAATCGAAAAGAAAAATATTCTGCATTTTCGCGATTTATAATTTTGGTCACTTTTCTTATCATTGAAAAATCAGTAAAATGTGTCCTTACTTAAAACTTTTCGCCTTTTATAAATTTGCATATTGTAAATAATTGCATGCATTGCATTCTAATCACTATGCATATTGTATGAATATTCATACTAAAAATCAGAAGAAAAATGAACATATATGAGCAAATTATTTATTTACAAAATGAATTTATGAAATTTCAAAAGAATATCAAAATAGCATAATAACTAATTGCAGTATGCAAAGTAAAAATTATGCATATGGATAAAAGACATACGTGATTCTAATTTGAAAATTTATGGGTAAATGATTGAGCATACAATTTAGCTAATTCTAAGCACTTATTTAGTAATTTTTCAGTCACTTTTTACCTTTTGACTTATTGTCTCCTTCGGCTGTAGAATTAAACGCTGCGCAAGGTATTTTCTCGCAATCACCGTCAGACATAGATTCAAACAATGTCTTGACACCGAATTGTTCCAAATATTTCTGATCCACGAACTGTGACAATCCATGCAGAGTCTTTTGCAAAGCTGTAGTGTCCGTATGGTTATCGGTTGATCCCTTGGTCACTTGGCAGAATATTCGTTGCATACATTCTGGATTATCCAGAGCTCTGGCTCCAAATGTGCTGATGGCTTGAACCACTGGTGACAAGAATTCTGCGTCTCTCAAGCTTTTTCCGCTGTTACCCGTTGCTGTCGTGGTTACAGTTGGAATACCACCATTCATCATCATATTCATCAAGGTTGGTAAAACAGCAGCAAGCATCAGACTGATTGGGATTATACAAGCCAAAAGAAGAGCCATTGGGTCTTCCTTCAATTTAGCCAGCAAACCTTTCTTGGGCTGGTTCATCTGCATCATCGTCGTCAACATTTTCAACTCTTGCGGCGACCAGGCATCGCCTTTCCAGCTTACAGCAGCAGGTGGAGGCGCAGGCCAGTAGTATTCTTCAATTTCTGGAAGTGGTTCTGGTTTTTTCTCTGGCATGGGAGGCATTGCTGGTGGCATAGCTGGTGCTTCTGGAATTTCTCCTTTCCACACATTCCAGTTTACGTGTGTTCCACTCTTGTATAAACGTTTCTGAGAGTTGTGTTTTCCTTGAGAAGGCTTGAAAAAATCCTTGCTGGTATATTGTTCAAAATTACTTGGAGGGGAGAACTCCGATTTGGTGAAGGATGTTCTTGGCTCGGCTATTTGATAGCTATCCAGTTCATCTCCGTTATAAGCGTCCTCTGGTGTATAAATTACTGGTGAGTCCTTCTTCAAAACTTGAGAACTGTAGAGAGTATTATCATCAGTGCGTCCATTTCGTACTTGTGTGTTATTTTTCGAAATTTTCCCAACAACTTCATCGCAAAAACCTTGAATAGTAAAAGCACAAATGCAAACGTAAATACAAATTTTCCTATTCATTTTTAAAAAATTAGAAGAAGATTTGATGCTTATTAATGCTGCTGTGTTTATGGATGTTTGTTAGTGGATGCTGACGAGTTTTATATAACCAAGCACGCTCCGTTTGCCTTTAGTTATTCCATGGCAATTTTTAAATAATCAAAATTCATTTATTTCGTGATTTATTTATTCCATTACTTAACTGTCTTTGTGTTTCTGTATTAAAAATATGCAGACGATGGTTCCTTAATGCGCATGCATGAAAGCCCTCGCCCGTGGGACCGCGAAGAGCCTTCTTGTGTTCTTCTTTTCACTCTCTTCTCTTATCGTCATTTCTTTTGTGATCATCAGATCCGTGAAAGACCTGTGAAGGACCGACTCATGATTTACGAGGATTGGACATTGGGTTGATGATGACACAGTAATCCGGTTGTATGGAGGAAAGTTCGGAAGATGCTTCCCGTTTTTGTTCATGAATCCGATGCAGATCCTGCCACGCCTTTTCGTGCAAACTCTAATTTTCTATCTAATCAAACGATCTCTTCGCTTTCTTGATATTAGAGCACACAATTAATCTCCATAAAACTGTGGATTTTTAGCTTTTTCTTAATGTGTTGATGGGGCAGATAAAATGATGATTGGTTGTATAATATAAATCGACAACTGGAAAAAAATTATCGTTTATGAACATTCTCAAAACGGCATTCTATTTTCTAGTCTAATGATTTTTTAAAAATAGTGAAAGAAGGATACAAAAAGAACTCTTTTGACCTTTATAAAAATTCTCTCCCTTCTTAATATTTTCTTTTGTGTTTAGTTTAGTTATTAACATTTAGATAGAAATATTTTTATATAGGGCTGATTTTTTCAATTTTTTAAATATTGCACTTGAAAAAGATGTATAAACTGATATTCGCACTATACGATTATGAAAAAAAATTCGAAGAAAAACAATATAAAAATATATCCTAATCTAATACCGGATACCTGGAACTNTGACACGCATATACCATATTATGTATAGTTAGATTACAGTTTTGGAAATAATCGTTAGCTTTCTGAAAAGAGGGAAGCATTATAAAGCTGAAAATTTGTTCCTATGCTTTATGTATAAAGTAATTTAATCACAATTAGCAGTATTTCTTTCTTTGGCTGAATACAAGAACAGAAGATGTCAAAAAATTGGAAACTATACTATTTAAAATCTTAATAATATTATGATAATAATTATTTCATATTTCTGTCAAAAATTTAGATTGATGCTTGCAATATTTTATTCACTACTTTTAAATTGTAGAATCGAATGATTATAGCTAAGACTGAGCTAAATAACTAAAATATTCCTTTATTAATAGATTTCGTGACTCTTTTCCAATCATTGACATTGGATTTTCCTTTTAAGCCTCACTTATATTTATATTTTGACGTTAAACCAAAGATATATTTAGACACTTTAATTACATCCCATACATATTCCTACATTTCTGCATAAAACCATAGGCACATTAATTCTTCAAAACTATTTAATTTATTTAATATTGAATATTAAGAACAATCGCACCCCCTCTGTCTAAACAGGCATACGTCAACAACAATATTGACTATTGAATAAAAAGCAATTTGAAGTAATTTTTCGTAGTAATCAATTTAAACTTTATTCAATCAGATTTTGTATAATATAACACAATTTCTTACCTTTTCAGTCTCTATTCTATTAAAAAAATTAAATTGTATTTAAATATTCTTTTATTTTTCAGAGACCTCCGATTTAATAAAATACGAGAAATCAAGAGTAATGCATTTAAAAACTTAGGACAACTAAATACACTGTAAGTATACTTCATTTAGAAATACTAAATTTATTCAAAGAAGTTATCATTAGATTGTCTCTGATATTTACTTAATTTTTTAATACTTATTTATTATGAAAAATACCTGATGCATGCTACAAAAGTGCTTTCTCTAAAACAAATGTTTGTTTAAACGTACGTTTAAAATTTCCAAAAAGTTTACTGAAATTTAAAACATAAAAAATGGGCAAGTATAAAAGTTTTATTAGTAAATTTAATAAATTGTGCTAGAATGAAGTGCCAGGCACGACAAGATGTTTTGTCACATATTCACCAACAACGTTCTGTACACGTCGATCATCAATTATCACAAAATAATACGTTCGTGATTCGTATTGCACAATAAGCATAGAACATTTAACTCGCTGCAATGAGTTGCTGTTGATTGTTTCGGTATAAATACATTTATTAAATTCATTCCAAACCAAGTGGTTTTAAAAAAAAATCCACTGTATAATGTATCGATATATCAAAAACCTATTTTCATAAGATTTCTTCCTTTAATAACCGCTCTTTTTTTTGCAAAAGCAAAATAAATTAATGTTCTACGTACCTGACTCTTTCGTTAGGAGCGGCGTATTTATCCGGCATTACGCGATGTCCTGTGTGTACGGGCGCCATATTTAACCAGTGTCAACCGGCCATTTGATAACCGACTTAATCTGTTTCAAACTGCCATTGGCTTATATTCCATCACCCATATAGGATTAATGGGTTATTGAGTCAAAATATTGGCTAAAAGTATATTTTGAATGTGTTTAGTTTGTTTTGTAAGTCAGAAAGACATTTTCCTCTTGTTCATAAATTTGGTTTATAAAAAACGAAATAGAAAGTACTTCGTTTGCAATGCAAGTGACAAAAGACATGAATCTAAGTGTGTGTGTGGAAAAATTGTAATGGTGATTTGTAGTGTAGGTTTGGGCATCGACCTTTGTTTTAAAATTTATCATCCTGCTTAAAATTACTAAAAGATTTTGGAATTATCCTAAATTGCATTTTATTTATAATACTTTTTTTGTTTTATAACCGTCATTGAACAATTGACCTAATTTTTGGGTTTACGACTACTAATGTTCCATTCCGCAACCTTGTTATTTTGAACCCAATCCAGAAGACAAAAGAATTCCTTTATCAAGTATTAGAAGAAATTTGCCTTCGTAGAGGACTTTTTGACGGAACTAACTTCCATTTGCGTTACATGGTGAGGAAAACCCCGAAAACTTCCCACGATTAACCTGATGGCAAGGGGACTCTAATCCATTATCCGTCTACCGCTGAGGATATTTTACGTCATTTATACTACTTGAAAAATCTCCAATTATATTGTTATGTTACTCTTAAATAAGATAATCCAAACATCAATTTACAGACTTACAATAGTCACTCTTCGCGGAGCGGTACACCGTTCAGTGGCGGCACTTCAGCCGAGTGAACTGATGTAACAAAAGAGTTAAGCTGACTAAAAAAAGTTATTCAACTTTAAAATTAGATATTTTTTTAAATGAAATATTCTATCATTTTGAAATGAAATAGCATGTACTACTTCTTCAATCCTTTTAGGTCACTTTGAGATAGTAGTTGATTTTAGTCGTTAAAATTTGATTTGGTATTTATTAAACTGAGTTCACTAAGCAAGCATAGTACATTTTAAAATTATTTTTGCTTCGATATGTTATTATGATATTTTCTTTTAATTTATTGTACGCTATTGTGCTAGACTGCTTTAAAAAAATCAATATTTTTCAAAGCTTTTTTTCATTCCCAATCCAGAAAATAAATAAATAAATTCATTTGCCATTTTCGTCTAATATTACAGTGTATTAAAAATAATGTCAGTTATGGTCAAGTTTACGTAGTAAAAAAATATACTTTTTTATCCTTTTTGAAACCATTGTAGAAATTGAAACTTCTTCTTAAACACGCAGAGCAATAAACTGCATATTTTTTCTTATCTTTATCTTACTCAATTGATCGAAATATCTGCTTTTTAGTTGACTTTTCTATGAAGATTGTATTTTTTTTAGGTTATTGAATAACAACCATTTAAACAAAATAGAAGATGATGCTTTTGCAGGTTTGACAGAATTGAAATATTTGTGAGTATAAAATATTTGTTTAGTAATATCAAGTAGTAGTCGGGAGATTTGTCCGGAGTAATTTTTTAGATTTTCGTCTTTTTAATGGATTAAATTATTACATTTGTTATAAATAGCTTATACTTCGGTAGGTTTTTTAATAGTTTGTAAAGGAAAACTTTTTATGAATATTTAGGATAAAGCCACCTAACTCGAAGATAATTTTTTTTCAAAATTATGCATTAAAACTTATATACCTAGAATTAAAAAGCTTGAGCCCGGCAATTTTTGTATCATAGGCATTTTCCTTTCATCCATGACTTTTTTAAGATGATTAATAAATTTATCATTTTAGATATCTTTATAAGAATCGCATCAAAACTATTGGAAGTACTGCATTCAAAGGATTACAGAAATTAGAGCAACTGTAAGTACATTTACTTTCTTTTTTTTCGAATTCGCTTGTTTCTTTTTTTCATAAATATTGTACGAGGAATAAATTTCAATTATTCTAATTCTGGTTAATTTATAATCCTGCCAAGCTAAATGAAAATAACGAGAAATAAATGTCTTGCTTAGGTTATTTTTAATCAGATTGTTTATCACATGCTATAGTAATTCTGAAATAAAATAAATTAACTTAAACTTATTTTTACTAATATAAGTTTAAGTTAATTTTTATATATATATATANGGAAATAATAAGTAAAAAAATAACAAGCAACAGTTTTAAAAAAAAGAAAAAAAAAGGATGAAATTTTATTTAAAAAAAACGGAAAAAAAAGAAGAAAAAATAATCTTTTCATCAGTCTACACGATTATATCCGCAAAAAAGAGTGCTTTCTGATATTGTATCAATATAGCCTATGTAAAATATATTAATACAATAGTGTGAGGAGCACTCAAAAAAATTTTTTACAAAAATTACAACAAATAAAATAGACTTAAAAAACTTATTGTTTTTCTTAACTTTCTTCGTGTTTTCTTGTATTTATTTATTATAATATATATATAATTTTCCTTTTTTTTAAATTTTACTTATTAATTAACTAGAGCAAATTATTACTAATTAGAATTCTCTATTTCCATACATATACCTATAAATAATAATAATAAACTATAAAAATACATTATTATAATAAATGATTATAATGAAATAAAAATGATAGAATCTGATACTTATTTCTTCTGATCTTCTTAAATACAAAATTAATATTTTTTCTTTATTAATGTTTAATCAAATCATGGGTTTAAAAACGGTATAGTGATTACTAAATGTAATGTAATGATAAGTTTTTTTATTTATTTTTTGATTAAATAAAACAAATTATTGAGAATTTATTTCTTTATTTACAGATACATACATTTTAATAAAATAGAGAAGATAGAATCTGATACTTTTGCAGATCTTCCTTCATTGGAAAGATTGTAAGTAATGAACTATTCCAAGAAATACTTTGTGCGTGTGATTGCAGACATTATATTTTTTGATTTACGATATTTTTATATTTTCAGATTTTTGCATCAAAACAAACTATCAAAAATACCCTATGACGCATTTAAGCACTTAAAATCATTAAGAAGATTGTAAGTAAATTAATGTTTTTATTTATTTTTTTAAATTTAATATATATATTTGTATTTAATGTAGTTAATTGCAAAGAAAAAAATAGACTGCTAATATTTTAAGTTGAAAATATTTAATTTTGAATTTCTGCATTGAATGATTAAAACTTAATAACTAGTTGCTGGCATTTTTATTAACTTCAATATATAAAAATTAACTGAAATAAATAACTAAAAAATTATGAAATGCCAATTAATTCATAATTTATTTTAGTTTCCATTAATGATTTAGAAAAACCTAAGTGTAGTAATCCATTCTCTTTTAATATAGATGATTTCATTAGTTAATGAGAATATATTATCAACTTTGAATAATTATTATTCCTTAGTTATTTAATATCAATGAATTTTAAATAATTCTGTTTTAAAGAAATGAATAATGAATAATTATAATGTGGAAAAAACATTTCGTTGTATTTATACCAATCCCTAATCTTGCCTCATTCAGGTGCAAGGATTTGAAATCTGAAATTAGTTTTGCTCTTGCAGCTACAGAATATTTTTTGAATGATAATTTTAGCCTATATTTCGTCAATATGTACAAGTTTAAAAACGTTATAAATAATAGGGAATCGCCTAAATGTTGTGACAAACTTTTAAGGTAGTTAAGGTACATAATCAGGATTAAAATTGCATAAAAACCCATCTCCGGAAATGTGAACGTAGATAAGGGGTGCTTTCTTATCATGATCTGTTCAGAAGAACGCGAAGAAACAGTTCATAATGAAAAGTGCCTTACCTGCGTACATTTGGTATGGGTTTCTATGCAACTGTCCTAACTTCTCTAAAAAATTGTTTCAACATTTACTGGATCCCATATTTTATACACCGTTTTTAAATTTGTATATTTCGACCAAAAAGTAGTCGAAAAATTTTATTTAAAAAAATTTAACTTCAGGAAGGAATCAATTTCAGATTTGTAATCAGTGGTGGAAAATTATTCAAGATCCATTAAAAAATCTGATGCAACAGGAAACAAAATAGTTCTCCAATGTTACTTGCATATTTCTTGCATTTATGTAGAAATTATTTATTCTTACACTTCATTTTGTTTCTTTTTTACAATTTAAAATTCACAATTTCTGTGGTTAACACTTCGCGTTGAAGTAAAATGTTAGCATTTTAAATTTTTATATACGTCCTCTTTACTCATTCAAAAATTATCATTTACTTTTTTCAAAAAAAATATTCCTTAGTACATAAAAATGAAAATTATTTTTTAGACAACTCGATTCTGGGGTTAACACTTCATGTTGGAGAAAATTGTCAATACTTTAAATTTTTATATCTGTTCTCCATATTCATTAAAAAATTAGTATTCACTTTTTTAAAAAAAAAAAATTTTTTTCCATATATATATTAGAATGATGCATAGTTAGTACATAAAAATGAAAATTATTTTTCAGACGACTCGATTCAGGGGTTAACACTTCATGCTGAAGAAAATTGTCAGTACTTTAAATTTTTATATCTGTTCTCTATATTCATTAAAAAATTAGTATTCACTTTTTTAAAAAAAAAACAAAATTTATTCCATACATATATTAGACTGATGCATAGTTAGTACATAAAAATGAAAATTATTTTTTATTCGACTTGATTCTGGGGTTAACACTTCATGTTGACAAAAATTGTCAGTACTTTAGTCAGTAGATCTATTCTCTATTGTCAGTCAGTAGATCTGTTCTCTATATTCATTAAAAAATTATTATTCACTTTTCTTTAAGAAAATTTTTTATTCCTGATATATACATAAGAATGATGTATAGTTAGTACATAAAAATGTAAATTATTTTTTAGACAACTTGATTCTGGAGTTAACACTTCATGTTGAAGAAAATTGTCAGTACTTTAAATTTTCATATCTGTTCTCTATATTCATTAAAAAATTATTATTCACTTTTCTTTAAGAAAATATTTTTATTCCTTATATATATTAGAAGGATGTACAGTTAGTACATAAAAATGAAAATTTTTTTTTAGACGACTTGATTCTGGGGTTAACATTTCATGTTGAAGAAAATAGTCAGTACTTTAAATTTTTATATCCGTTCTCTATACTCATTTTATTCACTTTTTATAAGAAATTTTTTTTCCTTAAAAATGATGTAAAGTTAGTACATAATGTAAATGTAAAGTAATGATGTAAAGTTAGTACATAAAAATGAAATTATTTTTCTAGACGTCTCGATTCAAATGCTTTGATATGTGACTGTGAAATGATGTAAAGTTAGTACATAATGTATATGTAAAGTAATGATGTAAAGTTAGTACATAAAAATGAAATGATTTTTCTAGACGTCTCGATTCAAATGCTTTGATATGTGACTGTGAAATGATGTAAAGTTAGTACATAATGTATATGTAAAGTAATGATGTAAAGTTAGTACATAAAAATGAAATGATTTTTCTAGACGTCTCGATTCAAATGCTTTGATATGTGACTGTGAAATGATGTGGTTGGCTGATATGTTGAAAGAGAACGAAGCTGCAACTCAGTCTGCTGCAACATGCGAATACCCTAAAATACTGAAAGGAAAACCTCTAACCGCCTTGAATAAGGAAGATTTCAGATGCAGTAAGATTAATAGCACTCTTAAACAGTTATTTGTATTTTTAAAATTTGTATTATACTATTGCTGTGTAAAACTGAAAAAAAAGTTTAGTTTAATAATATTATTAGAATTCAAACATTGAACAAAGTTCAAAATATCTAGGACCCAACTCCTAAGGTACAGATAAAAATGATTTAAATTTTACAATAACTGAAAAAAATATTGAAAATTAATATTGATTATAATATTGATAAAATAATGATTGTAAAAAAATATTGAATCATAATAATTGGAAAATCATATGATTTGTGTAAAAGTAAATCTGCATTTTAAAAGAAATTTATAAAATTAGTTTAAATCATTCTCAATTTGGTTTAAATCTTTCTCAGTAACTTTTTGTCGCACAACTCATTCTTTTAACCTCTGAAAAAACTATATCAGTAATTAGAGGTGCAATTTCTATTACTGTAGTACAGCCAACTTAATTTTTACAATTTACTGTTTTGCTTTTATTAAAAGATAATTTTTCAGCTACGCAACCTCATAAGCCAGTTTTAGAGATTGATGGAAAACGTGCCAGCTATCTTAAATATTATATTATTCGCATAAAAAACAATTTCCATGAAATGCTGTCATATTCCGTGATATTTACTCTTCAATTTTTTTGTCTATTAAGTTGGGCTCAAAATGACTAAGTTACAGAATTAACTGCAGTAATATCGATAGATGAATAATATATCGATATTATTACATCGATATATGAATCTGTATATCACCTCGATATATGAATCTGCTCATCGTTGATAATAAAATTAAAATGTTTATCATTCCTTTCCATTGCCGTCAGGCTTAGAGAGATTTTTTTTCACCTTCTATGGTGGTTAGTTTTTAAGTCTTCCAATAAGGCGTATTTATAAGGTGTAATGATTTATTCTGGAATCCCATAATTTTTAATTCAGTTAAAAAATTGATGTAGATGAACGTTATTGCAGAAGAGGAACGTTATTGCCTTAATTCCATTGGAATAATTAATTGTTTATGAACTTCCTGAACGTTTATTAATTACACGTAATTAATGAAGTGATTAATTAAAGTAATTGTTCATTAATTATTTCTTCAGTCTTATTAATAGACGATGTAGCCGATTTGATTACATTGCGATCATCAACTTGCTACGAATTATTAATTATCCATTACGATTTTAATTAACTAAATTAAAACCGTCATTCTTTTGAAGTCTTTGACACTATTTGGTTCTTCTAACAATATCAACAGTGTTAAAAATGTATAAAAATGAAGTTGTGTTAAGTTCATCGCCTTTTTAGCCTGTATATTGTTATTTTAATTTCTCATTGTTTATAGAAAGGCCAAAAATTACTGAAGAACCCAACGATGTTGATGTCACTTTTGGTGGGACCGCTTACTTCTCTTGCAAAGCGGATGGAGATCCAAAACCTGACATTGTATGGCTTCACAACAGGTAAGCATTAAATATTTCTCGAAGGAATTTATCCAACAAATCTTTTTAAAAAAAAGAAGGAAAAGGTTGTGATCACTGGTTACCCATTGTTCAAGCGTTTTTTCTTTCTGGATTGACTCCGTTAAACGCCACAACATTTCAAATCATGGGTTACAAAAACTGTCTCAATTGAGGTTTGTCGTCGGATTGGTTTTTAAATCAGGCCTATGTACGTGTTCACAAAATACTTTTCCTTCTTCAGTATTTATATTTATATTGAAATCACTGTCAGGCTAGTAATTACAAGTTAATAATTAAAAGAATATGCAAATACTTTTAATTATTATTATGTAAATACATTAAAAATGCTTGCGAGTGAAAATAAAACGAAAAACTACAACGGTCGCTATAGCAACGCATGCGCACTGTTTACTATTACTCTTGGATACAGTTGAAAAGTGTGATGACGTTCAAATAAGTTGCATACGCCATCAAACCCAAAAGAAGACCCATTTTGCCATTGGGTAAAAATATAGATATTTTTGCGATTTCGTTTATTTATTAATTTATTTTTGCAATCAATTGGAAAGTTAAGATAGCACAGCAGTATAAATTTTTTTCTGTGCTTAAGTTGTGCTAATCTTTTTTTGTTGAATTGATTTATGCATGCATGGAGTTTAGTAAATATCAACCTTAATATGCAATTTAATTATAAAAAAAGAAAAAAAAAAGCACTCGAATTGGAGATCACAAAATTAATATTTAAGCTAGAAAGAAACAGAAACGTGATTGACGCGCTGACAAATCATAGTACAAGAAGGTGGATGTAATAAACAGCAAGAAAGATTTGATTGCGGCAGGAAACAGGAGTTGAAAGATGATTATTAGAAATGCCTTTAAGTTTAACTTTCCAATTAAACCTGTTTTTGACGTTTACTGCATTCTCCTTACAATGAGGTGAACCGAGTTCGAATCCCGGTGATGGCAGGTCGATACGAATCAGCACTCGGCTTTCACCGACCACAGTGCTGACGTGAAATATCCTCAGTGGTAGACGGATCATGAGTTAGTCCCTTTGCCATCAGGCTAACAGGGGGAGGTTCTCGTGATCTTCCTCCCCATGTAACGCTAATGCGAGTTAGTTCCATCAAAAAGTCCTCCACGAAGGCAAATTTCTCCCAATACTTGATCCAGGAGTTCCCTTGTCTTCTGGATTTGGTTCAAAATTACAAGGCTACGAAGTTGAACATTAGAAGTCTTAAACCCAAATATTGGGTCGGCTGTTCAACGACGGTTATAACATTCTTCTTACACTACAGTGATTTTTCAGATTTTGATGGTGTTTTTGTTTCTTCTTCGTTTAAGTGCCAATTTGCAAACTCCTACATGTATACTTTTTATTTTCATTTTCAATAAGGATTCTAAAATTGCGTAATAAGGGTAGTCTTTATGGAACACCCTGTATTTATTTATTATTCAATTTATAATTATTGTTTTTACTTCGCCTAAGCAATGAAATATCACCAAGTGAAGGGGAGAGATACAGCATCTTGACGGATGGTACACTTATGATAACAGAAGCCCAAGATTTGGATGCTGGGGTGTACGAATGCATGGCTAAGAATCCAGCTGGTGAAATAAAATCAAGAGCAGCTAAGATGCACTATCTCAACGATCAAGCGAATTTAATAAGAAGTAAGAGGCTTTTTTAGTACAAAAGTTCCCCTTTTCTTTAATTGACATAAATTTTTACGCTCTTACAGGGAATATATTCTAGAATCACTACCTTTAAAATATATTTTTAGAATCCTTGCCAAAAATCAAGTAAAAAAAAGCACATTTCAATTAGTTAGTTATACGTTTCAGGAAGCAAATCTGTATGCTTTTAGACAATCAATTTGCATATTTAATTCAGAAAAATAAAATCTGTTGAATTATTTGTGGCGAAGAAAGACACTAAGACTGATTTGTCTGACTTGTGAAACTAGAATGTCTTTCTAATGATTGCCTTTTAACTCTTTACTGCTTTCTCTGACAAACAAGTTTTTAGTCTCTCCTTTCTCACTGAAGATTCTTTAGATTCAATATTAATGTGTGGCCCAAGATGTGTATATGTCTTACTTCATCCCGGACAAGGATTATTGAAATATATCCTTTTTTTAAGTGGCGGGCACTTGGAACTATTGTCCATTGTCCACAGAAAGTGCCAGAACTGCTAACTCTCTTTTCGTTACCCTGTGGGCACCTGCGGTGGAGCAGCGTAGCCCACGTCACTCTACCACAACCCGTTTATAGGGCGGGTCACATTCACACACAAAGGAGAAAAGACATAGAACACAGATAGAGAGTAAGAAATATCCATGCCTTACCCGGGATTCGAACCCAGAACCTTTCTGATGCAAGGAGAGTTCCCTGCCCCCTACACACAGGTCGATCGGCTTGAAATATATACTACAAGCAGTGATTACGGAACACGTAATATATACCATGTGATAATATACACTGAGATTACGATAATCATGAGATAGCATTATGCAACTATACATATGGCAATAGTATCGCGTACAAAATGTGTAATATATGGGTAGTGTACTGAACAAGACTTTTATTTGAGTTTAAGTTATTCATCTGAGAATGTTTCTGATGTAATTATGACCGCAAGACGAGAACTGACAGACTTAGAACATGGAATAGGAGTTAGAGCTAGACAAATGGGAATTCATATTCCTAGATCTCCTGTGACGAGAATACCTAATTTCAGGCATAACATCCACCATGGACAACGTAGTGGCCGACAGCCAGCACCTAACGATCGAGATCACCGACGTGTTATTATGGTTAACAGACAAGTAAAATTACGTGGAATAACCGCAAATGTGTTCGATAGGACAGTGTGGTGAAATTTGGCTGTAATAGAATGTGACAACAGAAGAAAGATTTGAGTACCTTAACTACTAGCGACATCACGTCCGCCGCCTCTCCTGGGCTTGTAACCATATTGGTTAGACACTGGATGACTAGAAAACCGTAACTTGGTTCAGCTAGTCAGAGTTGATGGGAGAGTTCGAGTGTGTCGCAAATCCCCCGAAACTATGGACCCAAGTTGTCAATAAGGCACTTAATATCTGGTGTGGGCTGCTTTCTCATGGCATGGACTGGGCTCCATGGTTCGATTGCATCGATCAATGACTGTAAATGGTTAAGTTCAGCTACTCGGAGATCACTTGAAGCCATTTATGGACCCAAACAACCATGGAATTTTTATGGATGACAATGTATGACGAGTCTTAATTGTTCCTGACTGGTTCGAAGATCATTCTGGCCAATTCAAGCAAATAATTAATTTGGCCTCTTAGATTACCCAACATGAATTCCATTGGACGCATATGGGATATAATCGCATAAAATCCTGCACCCACAACGCTTTCACAATTATGGTCATCTATTGAGGCTGCATGGCTGAATATTCCTGCAAGAGACTTTCAACTACTTGTTAAGTCCATGCCACCCCGCTAATTTTGTCTCCTCGGTGTATATGTAATATTATTGCAGACTAAAATACATTTTTTTTAAAATTAAAGAAGTACACTTATTAAACCATATATAATTTTTAAGCTAGAGGAAAGAAATCAAAAGTCAGAATCTAACGAATAATTGTTAAAGGAAGCAAAACTAAAAACATCAAAACATGTTTGATTGCCAGGGATACAGTAAATGCAAGGCGATTAGTATAAGAAAAACCGTTAAGTTTCATCAGACAGACTGGCTTGAAATTTCTCTATCCCACCTTCCTCGCTAGTGACTCAACAGACTACTATAACGTTTTTGCTTCTTCCTCGCTTAAGTATTAATTTTTGACCCTCAATACTTTTTCATTTTTTTCTACATTTTTGTCGAGAATTATAAAAATATATATTTCGTGTAGACTTTACTGAAGACCCTGTGCGAATTCAAATCATTTTTCAGGAATAAGCTATTCATATAATAAACTACAATTAAGTGTCCTGCTTTTACTTAGTAATAGCATACCCACATTTTGGTTGTGTATCCTCTAACAATATTAAACTTAGTGCTACAAAGAAATCTAACAGTAATACTTTAATATTATTCAGGTACTCTCAGATTCAGAGACCAGCCAACAGACAGTAAAGTTCCTGTTGGAGCAACTATTGTATTACCTTGTACAGCAGTCGGGGAACCGAACCCTATTATAAACTGGGTGCAAAACCGAATATCTTTGCCCAGAGTTTCTAGATATCACGTGTCTCCCTCTGGTTCTCTTACGATTAAAAATGTGCAGAAAAATGACGCAGGAGTGTATCAGTGTATTGCCACTAATAATCTGTCTACAATAGCTGTTGAAGCGAACCTCATAGTTGAAGGTAAATATATTTTATTGTTTTTATCTACAGTTTTCCTTTACCCTTTCCTTGCGAGTTTTTTACATCCCTGTTTATAGAGCGAGGTATTTAACCTGCATCCACTCGATACCCTGCGTGTATGAGAGCCGTAGTTAGCTGGCATCCATGGGATGACATCATGTACGAGCGCCGTATTTAACCGGCATCCACGCATGTGATGTCCTGTGTGTACACTCGCTGTATTTAGCAGGCATCCACGCTATGTGCGAGCACCGTATTTAGTCAGCATCCACGTGATGCCATGCATGTACGAGCGCCGTATTCAACCGGCATCCACGTACGTGATGGCCAGTGCGTACTCACATCGTATTTAGCTGGCATCCACGAGATGCTGTGTGTTTACGAGTGCCGAATTTTGCTGGCACCCACGTGATGAGTTATGTGTACGAGGGCCGTGTTTAAACGTCCTGTGTATACAAGCGCAGTATTTAACCTGCATCCACGTGACGCTATGTGTGTTAGAGCTCCGTATTTAGCCGGCACCCACTCCATGACAGTGTGAACGCGCGCCGTATTTAGAAGACATCCACGCGATGCCATGTTTGTACGAGAGCCGTATTTAACCGGTGTCAGCGTGATATTGTTTGGTAAGAGTCCCAATATGCTTCAAACTGCCATTAGCTAATATTACATTGATCAGTATTGGATTAATACCAATAAAAGTATATTTTATTGGTATTAATCCAATATGTGCTTATTAAATTTTGTAAGCCGATTGAATTTTTATTGATAATATTTTCAAAATCTTGAAATATATTATTATGTAACACTCAAATAATAAAATCTGAACATCAGCTTAGCGACATACAATGTGCACACTTCGCAATGCAGTGCACCACTCAGTGGCGTTACTTCAGTGGAGCGGGCTGCCGTAAAGAAAAAGTTAATTAATTGTAGGTAATTGTCTTTGGTTATTCTACTAAAAATATTCTACGAAAAGTATTAGAACAATATTTGCACCCAAAACTAACCATTTAGCATTATCAAGTCTACAATAACCTATTTACACTATATTTTTAAAAATAACTCACTTAAAAATTACTTAAATTATCATTTCAGAGGCTAATAATCTTTAAAACAGACGCTATAACCGAATAGGAGAATGACGGCATGTTAATTTATTTATAATATTTTGTTCCAGAAGTTTAAAACTATGTGATTAATTATAGGTAATCTATTACTTCAAGAGTTTTTAGATTTTAAATTTTCAATAGACCTTTTTTTTGTAAAATTGGTGCCGAGAATTTTAAAACTCTAAGTGCATTAAAAATATTTAAAATCCAAAAGAGAAACGATAAACAAATTTCTTATTTTAAATTGCTCATTAGATAAGTGGACTCTAATATCCATCCAGAGAAGTTTATCTTCTTAAGAAAGAGATTAGTTGCTCGACCCAGAAAGACTTTGGTGTTTTTCTTCCTCTAGTTTTTTTTTCTAAATTTCGCTTTCATTGTAGAATCAAACATAGTTTCTTGCTTACAAGAAAGAATTTTAGCATGTAATATTGTAAATTTTTTCCCACAATTTGAACCAATATAACAACGTTTGGCTCTGTGCCGTTGAATAATGTGTACAACCATCTTTGTTTTTATCTATTTTTAGTTAGACTCCAAGATTTTTTTATGCACAGAAAGAAAGATCACTCTGAATAACTTTTGATTTTATGATTAGATCTTCACGTTCTAAGGCTCAATCTTAATGGTTCGAAAGGGTGGCCTCAAATATGATAATTAATTAGTGCAGATGATATTTTAAATTACAAAATCAGCACAAAAACGTACTTTCTCTGGATAAACATACCTTGTTTTGATGGATTTCTGACCTCCAAAATATAGGAGGTAGCAGCAATCTGAGAAAAATGGTTCCAATAGTTTGATCAAAAGAGCGGTTCAATATATGGATCCCTTATCATAAATTTTACTTTATGCGTATTTCACGATATCTGAAGAACTTTTCAAGCAAATTGAAAAATTGTTTCACCCAATTATGAAACTCGATCATCCAAAGATAATTCCATGCAAAATATTACTTTTACTAAATTTTTATTATTTCTTTATTTTATTTAATAATAGTCTAAAAACTTTTGAATTGAAAGGTATACTATTTTTTTAATCATTTTAAAAAATGCGATTTTAAATGACAAAATACGAAATTTGAGCGAAATCGGTTGAATAGTTCCGGAGAAACTGAATTTTAGAAAAAGTCGTATTTTTAAATTTCGATTGATCAGAAACGTCCTCCTATATTTTGCGAGTCAGAAATCCAAATCCGTTGAGAAGAAAAGGTATGTTTATTCAGAGAAAGTAAGTTATAGTGTCTGATTTCGTAACTTGAAATATTGTTTGCACTATTTAATTAGCATATTTAAAGTCACCCAGTGAACCATTAAGATTGAGTCCTAGAACGTGAAGATTCGTTTATTAGATCAAAAGTTATTCAGGATGCTCCGTTTATTTTTTTGCGCAACGTACTCCTAAAAGTATTTCTAATTCATTTCCACGTATTTGCGAATCGAGTCAATCGTCCCTTTTCCATTTCAAAAAGATTCTATTCCAAAATCAGAAATTCCTGGAGTATTCTAACAAAGAACTAAAAATGAGGATTATTATGGGGAGGGTGTTTCTTAATTGTGATTCATATGCAAAAAAAAATAAGAAAGGGACTGTCTTTATGGGGTATTTCTAATTGTGAATACATTCTTGTGCATCCAAGAAACCTGTGAATGTATCGAAGAGTAAATCCTGCTCATATCCTGTCAACTTAGCCCCTCCTGTGTTCCTGGAACGCCCCAGAGATCAAGAGGCCCTTGAAGGACAGAATGTTGAACTTTTCTGCATTGTTGATGGAAGCCCACGCCCTGTCTTATGGTGGATCAAAGATGGTAAGTGCTTGATTTTCATTTTAAAAAAACTGCTAATATTGTATGTTACACAACATATTTTTTCTTTAATTTCGCCTGTTAAATTTATATTAATTTGATTTTGTAACACGCGTAAAATTTCCAAAGAGCTATCAATCGTAATTCGCAGTATTCCTAATACAGTAGAGCCCAATACAGTTATTCGAATTTCCAATTCAGTTATCGTCCCGCAGTGGGACTGATCGTTAAGATACGGTTCCCAGCAGATGACTGAAGTCAAGCATCACTGACTGCGGTCAGTGTGCGGGTGGGTGACCACTTAGATCAGTCTGCGTAGGGACTGAGGGTGTGCGGTATTGGTCCTCGTTAAACTGTTCTACCGTAAAGTGCTCGACTTTGCTTGCAGGTCGTCGGGCTACCGAAGCTGTGATGCCATCCCCTCTGCTGAGGATCAAAATTGTAATGGCATATCTTCGGATCATCCTCTTCGGATCTTTCCCAGTCCGTCGCCAATAACCCATTGCTCAGCTCTAGTGCGACGTAAATGAACTACAATAACCAATACAGTTATCCGAATTTCCAATAAAGTTATTCGAACACCAATTTACCAGATTGTGCAATTATCCGGATCGGTCAAACACAATGTGTTTTGTTTGTTTTTTTGAACCTCATCTAAAAAGTTTTTCATTTATTTTTTTTATTTTGCGAAAATAGTTCTTTATTTTCAGAACATCTGAAAGGGGTCAAAAATAGTTTTTGTCCCTTCTTGACTTAGAAAAAGAATTTCTCGTTCGTTATCCAGTTTCAATGTGGGCGTGGGGGCAACTGACAAGTAGTTTCTAGTAAGGGTGCAGATTTTTCTAAGAGTCAGAAAGAGGAGAGGAAACATGTTTAACATTCTGTTGGTCAATTTTGTAAGAAAGAAGAATGTTAAAAAAAAAAGTTTAAACATGCCATTTTTAGTATGATATAATTAGGTACTGCTATAATTCTCAGTCCTGAGCCTAGAAAAAGAGAAGTTACTTAATAGCATTTACAATGCCTTAAAATAATATTTTCAGCGTGGTGTGGATTTTATATGGCGAGAATCAGTATTTTTAGTTTTCAAAAATGAAAAATCGCCAAGATAAGATAACTGTTTAATTTTAATATCCATAATCTGATTTTCTATATTATTACACTCTCTTTTTAATGAGTAATTTGGTAGCTAATTTTTTGGATATGGTTTATCTGTAAATTCTTCGAACACCTGTAAAAGTTTTATTGAGCTCTATGAGTTTATCTTGGAAACGTTTCCTTGTCAATATACGAAATACAAATTCTGATCTGCTTTGTTAAATGCATTAAATATTTTTATAGAACAGCTTGAAAGTGTTGCGATATGTATATTAGAATTATTTATATTTTAATTTTCTATATATATTTGAGTAAATCTAAGGATTTGACTCCGTAATAGAGGGAATATCTATCTAATGATGGGTTTATCCACGCTAAATATAGAAGTATTTTCATCTTTAATTTGGATAGAGTATTGTAGTTTTTGGGTATAAATCTAGAAATTAGACTCCGTAATAGAGCGAATATCTATCTCTTGAAGGGTTTATTCACACTAAACATAGAAGTATTTCTATCCTTAAAGTAGATGTATGGACTACTGAGTAGTATTTTTTGTATTAATCTAGGAATTAGACTCCGTAATAGAGGGAATACCTATCTGTTGAATGGTTTGACCTCGCTAAATTATGAAGTATTTCCATCTTTAATTTAGATAGTAGTTTTTTTCCTTTCCTTTTAAATCTAGAAATTAGAGAATATCCATTTGTTGGTGAGTTTATCCACATTGAAGATAGTATTTCTACCTTTAAATTGGTTGTATGGACTACTATTTAGTATTTTTTGTATAAATCTAGAAATTAGACTCCGTAATAGAGCGAATGTCTAAGTTGAAGGGTTTATCCATGTTAAATATACAAGTATTTTTATCTTTAGAGTAGATGTCCGGACTACTTAATAGTATTTTTTTTGTGTAAATCTAGGAATTAGACTCCGTAATCGAGGGAATATCTATTTGTTGAAGGATTCATCCATACTGAAAATTGAAGATGTAACGAAAAGCAACGAAGGAATATACACTTGTTATGCTGAAAATGCTGGAGGGCAAAGAAACTCAAGCGCTCTCCTTATGATCAGGCAAAATGGTAAGTATTCGATTTACAATCGTTATTTATGATATTTTTGCTATGAAAATCATGAGAAAAAAAAGCTTAGACAATATTCGATCTAGTGATGAGGTTTAGGATTTTATTTTGCGACCACCTTTATTAGCATCCTATTCTTCGTGTGGCTAAAATGTGAGAAGTATGTCTAAAAATGTGGTACAGTATAAGCAGAAGTTTCTTTGTTTCTAGATTTATACAAAGTAGATTTTCAATTAATCGTTTGTCGTGGAACCTATACACTGCGAACGATAGATACAGGAATACGACGAATAAATATCAAATAATGACTTGACAATTTATGAAAAGTAATAAAGAAGTTATGAACTTGAAAATAAATAAATTTTCAAGAAGTTCAAAAAAAATAATAATCGCAAAAAGTTTGGACTTGCTGCAAAAATATTTTGATGCAAAAAGAGAATAGTAAGCGCATTTATTTATTTAAAATATGTTTGTACATTTTGGCTTGAGCACACTCGTTTCTTCTCATTGCAAACAATAAAGTTTCGTCATTTGTAATAGTTTGCTGTTTATTTTGTACAGAGTGCGCAAAAAAAAAAAAAGACTTTCCTGAAATTTTTTTTTTTATTTATCGGATCTTCGCGTTCTAGGACTCAATTTTAATGTTTCAAAGGGGTTGCCACAAATTTTCTAACTAATTAGTACAGGCGACATTTTGAATTCCAAAATCTGGCACGAAAGTGTACTTTGTTCAAATAAACATACCCTTTTTCGGCAGATTTGGATTTCTGACCCCCAAAATATAGGGGGGGCCGCAATCTGGCAAAAATGGTCCCAATTGTTTGAATTTTGCTCTTTGCATATTTTGCCATATCTCGAGAACTTTTAGGCGAAATGGAAACAAATTTTAACACAATTATAAAATTCGTTTATTCAAAGATAATTCCACGCAAAAAAGAACGTTTATTAAACATTAATTATTTTATGTAATGATAGTCGAAAAGGCTTTGAATTCTAAGGTATAAAATTTTTAACATCATTTTAAAGAGTGTAATTTTTATATTGCAAAATGTGAGCGAAATCGTTCGAATAGTTCCTGAGAAATCAAATTTTTAAAATACGACTTCTTTAAAATTCGATTTCTAGGGAAATACGCAAAAAGTAAAACTAACATTAAAGGGTCCAAGCTTTAAATTACTATTCTAACCAAACCAATGCTACCATATTTTCAAGATTGCGACTATCTCCTTTATTTTGGCATTCAGGAATCAAATTTTAAAAAAAGTATTCCTTTAAGGTATATATTTAAAAGTCCCTCCTTGTTTTAAAAGGCTTCGAAGCATTACAAAATTTTGGCTCCAAATGTGGTTCCGCTTTGCTGTCTTCAATGGCATCTCATTGTGCTTCTTCAGCTTCTGTAGCTAGTTCCATAGCTAGCTTCTTGTTAGCTTCAAAAACAATCCAAAAGGATATTGCTAACATTTAACATTGCGCGCAGAGTTTTTATGTGATAAAGTGTTTTATGTGTGTAAACTGCTTATTTTCGATTTTCGTTTTTTAAAAGCCCTTATAAGTGCTTTTTTCTTTGGATGTTTTTAAAAATCCTTAATTTTCCCTTTTCGAAAAGGAGATTTTTTTCTTTACCACGTCGATTTTCGCCACGTGTTATGCAAAAAAGTACTTTTCATATTATTCTATTCAACGTTCCTGTAATGAACACAATCTTATATCTGGTACCATGGTGAATGTAAATAAATGACAAACTTTAATTAATTGTTTTACTCTTTTGAAAATGGTAGCTTAACAGATTAAATAATTCCCCTGTTTTCTTAGCCTACTACACTTCTCGTTTTCCGTACAGAAATTTGGTCGTAATTTAAAAATTAATGCAGTTGTTTTAGAGTAAATTATTTGCTTGTAAATCCACGTAAATACTTATATTACGACCATAACAAATAATAATAATAATTAGTGTAATGCAATCAAAATCGAAAGTATGCTTATGCAAATTTATACTAACTCACGCGTAAAAATAATTCCTAAATAGTGAATTTTGTCCCTAAAAACCTCTACAAAACAGAAAACCAAAGTAAAACTTATCAGAAAATAAATAAATTGAGCTATTCCCGTTCGGATGTGCAAAAAAGAAAATAAAAGGCAAAAAGATACCTCTGTAAAACAGTCTTTTCAACAAGCATAGTTTTATAGCCGGAAAACGGTGTACAGGGGTAATGCGCGTACCCGCTAGCTTGTTTTAAAGGTGCAGTTAGCAATAGGGGACATAAAAAATAAAATCGCAATTAAAAGTCATGGTTTCGTTTTACTATGTTGTTTCTCTGTTTATAGATAATCTATTTAGTTTATTTTTACATTATTTCAATAGCGTAATTTAAATAGTTTACAGAATTTGTTTTTTATAATTTTTGAAGTAAGAAATTTAATGAATAAAAATGGAAAATAATAAATTCACAAAATGTCTAAAAATGTAATTAAAATACGTTTTCATTAATACAAATTGAGTTTCCCTCATAGTTTTTAATTACACAACGTTTATTGATAACTCAATAGAGTTTATCAAATAGCTAATGGGGCTCATTAATTATGTAATAGCGTATCCAATAGCGTTTATTATTCACCCATCAGCATTTATTAAACCTAATAGCGTTCATTTATCATTTGGTGCAGATAGGACACCGGTGTCCATTTTATTTATTTTTTTTCTGACGTCAGATTTTATGTATTTTTCCTGTCGTTTCTGAATTACAAAAAAAAAATCTATTTTGGAATTATTTTTTTTAATTGCGAAAAGCATTCTAATAGCTGCTAAATAAAATCTGTTAGATTATCAGGATTACATTTGATCTAAATTATAAAATCCCAAAAAGTAGTTTGAATTTTTTTTTTCATTCATATCCAAAAATTTATCAATGATTGATTCTGTAAATTGAAGAAATTTCAATTATGAATTACTGTTTCTGTTAGATCTAAATAAGCGCAATTTTGAAAATATTTTTGTTTGGAAGTGAGCCATGTTTAGAAAATTTTACTTTTAACATAAAAAAGAGACACCAATGTCCAGTGTTGTATTTCATTACCAAAAATTATTAAAATACCAAATATATTATATTTTACTAGTTAAGGAATTTAGTGTCGCGACCTAGGCCATTGAGCCCATACGCCAAATACTTAGATGCCTCATCGCCTTGACAGATCCCAGCCCAGCCCAAGGGTCAAGCAATACGCGGACACCGGGCAAGGGCCCGAGTCACGCAAGAATAAAAGCACCATAGATCGAGAGCAAAGGAGGCCTGAAATATTTTATACTATATTAATATTTTATATTAATATTTTACATTAATATTTTATGCTAATATTTTATATTAATATTTTATATTAATATTTTATATTGACAAGAAAATATTTTACTTGTTAATACAAAACTATTATACTGAATTAATACAAAATAATGAAAAGTTCTGCGACAAAAGGGTAAGTATCTGGAAGTCGCAGTATTAAAGTACGATTAAAAACATGAGTTTTTGTTGTTTTTTTAACTGTAGAAGCTTTTATGTATCTTTACATTAAAATAAAATGTTCTAATTTTCTTTCCTAGTTCCACCTGTTTTTACTCGAACGCCTGAGGATCAGAGAATTCACTTAGGATCCAGTATAGAGTTACCCTGTCATGCCAAAGGTCAGCCAATGCCTCAAATAAAGTGGAGAAAAGATGGCCATGTTATGTCTTCTTATTCGGATCATCACCGAATCAACAGTCAAGGCGATTTATACATGTTTAACGTTGGAAAAGAGGATGAGGGAATTTATGAATGCATAGCCGAAAATGAAGTTGGATCTGCATTTGTATCAATGCACCTTACAGTATCAGGTAAGTAAAAAGGAAATTGATACATCAAATTTTCAGATCATAGATAACACATTCACAGAAGTAGGAAATAATTAAAACTTAACCTGGGAATAATTAGGTACTTTCCCATTTCGATGGCACTCCCTAGTCTAAAAGACATGCTAGCTCGATTCATTCTTTAGGTACCTTTTGATAGATAAAGGTTGGCATTGTTGATGTCTACTTTCCCCACATTAGTGACCTGGACTTGCTATGAACACGCCTATTTCGATGGATGGTACACATTGAAAAGTTGACTTACTATTTGTGAGTGCGTCATCATCTTCCTCGCGCTGTTGCTTCTCTGTCTCATTTACACACAACGTGATCCTGCACACACTCTACTGCTAATAGCAACACACACACAACCGTGAACTTAATACAGCTCTCCCCACAAGTTCCCGAAATCTGGTGAACCTAACACAGCTCTCCCTGTCTTCTGCAAATACGGCAACTAGTGGTATCCGTTCTTCGAATTCTATGCCTGATAAAATTTCCGGTGGTGAAGTATTGTGTCATAACTACCACTACGATTATTAAAGATCAATTCACTGTTATATACTACGTGTATTGTCAATTTCTACTCTCCTCTTACTCTCTTTTCTTGTGACTAGTAATATGCATGTAATAGAGATTTCTTTTCCTTTTCTGAGCAATGTTTTTAGGTTTTTGTTTTAAAATATTAATGTTTGTTAAAAACTATTTAATAAATTCTATTCGGATTTACTGTATCTAGTAATACACATTTAATTTTTTAACGGGGTTTTTATACTTGCATGTTATTATCAAGTTTATTAATACTCCATTGATCATTTCCAATTAAAAAAATATTCTTAATCAATAGGTTAACATGTTGAATGCCACGCTAATTTCACCCTTGCCCGTCTGGCCAAACGGTAAATGACTACAAACTAAATTTGCAAATATTAGATAGATTTTGTTAGTTTTTTAAAAGGATTAGTATGACATATCTTCCTTTGCTTGCTTTATTTAAATTAACTGGGCCTATACCATTCATCATTAAATTACATACAGTAAGGTAAAATACATTGATTTGACAAACATTGTGGTAGCCATAAGAAATCAAGCCGTTTGCTTGTGAAATAATAAAACAATGAAAAAATTCAATATGACAAATTGACGTTTTTACGTTGACGACGTTAATTGACGTTTACATAACATTAGAAATATTGATTGTAGACTTATATTAAAAATAAAGATAAAACATAATTTGATATGTACAATAATTGATTTTTGAAAAATTAAAGACATAATTGATGAATATAGGTAAATCATACCTTGATACATGATAAAATAACAGATTTGGAGGAAATACGGTAAATATATTTTATCAGAGAAATATTGCTCATTAAGTACAATAGAATTTGCAAAAGAATTTAACGTACATAAGTTGATAAATATATATGCATAAATTGGCTATATTATCAGATAATAAATTTTTATGTAATTTAATTTTAACTTAAGTGAAAGTCTGCTGTGAAAAGTTCAGTGAATTTAACTTGAGAGTCTTGAAAATAAAAATAGAACTCGCTGGGATTGAGATGTTTCCCCGATGATCCCCCGCAGAAGGCGGAGCACTTCTTCATTTTTGAGCAATTCCTGTAATTCTTTGATTAATGACACTAATCGGTGAGCAAGTTTAGGCGTCGAATTTGATGTTGCACGAGGGCTCCTTCTGCTGGGGCGGGAGCATGACATATCTGAAGAAGTGGTGAATTATATAAGCCTACGAATTGTTTAAAAAATAGTGGTGGATAAAAATCTACTAAATTGAATTTATTACACCAAGAATCACAATTAATAAACCACCACTCGAAAATATTTATTCGCTGTCCGGCGCAAGTTGGCATCTCTGTGTATATGGGTAAAACTACTTTTGTGTGTTCTATGTCACATTAATTTATTCAAACCATTTTAGTAACGATAATCATATAAAAAATTTAAAATTTACTCGAATTATGGATTTCTAATAATCTTGGCTTCGTCGGTCACCGGTGACCCCCATGGTATTCTAACTTGTTAAGTATAATAGATTGACTAGGGCTAATTTCTTAGAGATTTTACTGATGACTTAACATTTTATTTTCGTTGGCAGATGAACCTTTTGTTGGAAGACCGGGTGACGGTTTGATATTTGTAGCTGTTGATGAAGCCCGGGTTGAAATTGACAAAGCTCTGAATCACACCTTATACGAGTTATTCGGAGAACCACATAGGAGACAACCTGGAGAACTGTTGCAAGCCTTCAGGTTTCCAACGAATGAAGCCAGAGAAGCCGCTAGATCAGCTGAAATCTATGAACGAGCACTAGAAATTGTATGGAGTCACGTACGATCTGGAAATCAGTTTAATTTAAGTGGTATGTTATTATTCCAGCTAATTAAGTGAATACCTGATTTTTTATTTAATTATTTGCACATAATTTATTTTGTTTAGTATTTAATTCTGCATGTTTTTGTGTATTGAGAAATATTTCGGTTTGAAGAAGTTGAAGAATTTACCATGAAAACGTTGATGACGGGGTGAGGTTTCGCCCTCTATTTCTCGCTCCCGTTATATTTCCGGGCTGGAGTGTTCAGTAGTAACACGCCAATAAGAATAAAACTAATTCATTTCTTTTGCCCGGAAAATATTTATTTCTCATTCTCATACCAGATGGCAGTACCAGGATATTTTTAAGGTAATTGTGGAAGAGATGAAAACAATAAAAGATGTAGAAAGGAAACTCGGTACTACTGTCCAGATTGTGACGTCGACCTTTGTATCTCATGCTTTGAAATTTATCACACAAGAAAGAATTACTAATCTGAATTTATATTATACGTAAGTTTAATAAAATTCCTTTTTAATATTTAAAACACATATTTTTTTATATTTTCCTTGCTTTGCTGGAAAACCAACATTACGGAAGCTTACGTATCTAAGACAATTAAACTTTTATTTAATGATAAAGTCAGGTTTTACGACATTCAAACTATTTTTATAGAAAGGTTAAGAAATTAAAAAAAAGATGTCAGTGATTTAGGAAGCATATTGACCAGTTTCCTCCCTTTAAAAAACATTTTATCTTATAAGCTGACTGTTGGTAGTATATTCGTCTTGAAGCTGTGCAAAAACTTAAAACAGTATCAATATATTGTTTTTTTTTTAATTTTTATTAACTTTTCTGTTCTTATTTTTTTATTTAAAAAAATAATAAATTTATCTTTGATACTCAACAATTATTTTTGTTATAAATATTAAGCACCATAAATATTTGTTTCGATTTTAGATTTTAGATATCAAGATATCTTATCAGATGATAAGCTCGACCTTTTAGCGAATTTATCCGGCTGTCTAATACATAAAAAAGAACCGAGCTGTTCTGATATGTGCTTTCACCAAAGTTACCGAACATTCGATGGTTTATGCAATAACTTCAACCATCCGAGGTGGGGAGCATCACTGACACCTTTCACGAGACTGTTACCAGCAGAATATGAAAATGGTTTCAATACACCCATAGGTAGCATCTCGTTCATTTGAAATTTAATCTCAGTTTTATTTAATACAATATAACTTTAAATTTATTGATTATAATTTATTTCAGGTTGGTCAAGAACAAAGCTATACAATGGGCATCCAAAACCCAGCGCAAGGGTTGTATCCACTGAAATTGTATCTACACATTCAGTATCTCAAGACTCTGAATATACGCATATGTTGATGCAATGGGGTCAGTTTTTGGACCATGACCTCGATTTCTCAATGCCTTCCATTAGTCACGCAAGCTTCATAGACAGCGTCGATTGCGCCACCTCGTGTGAGACAGTTGCACCCTGTTTTCCCATAGAAGTACCACCAGGAGATCCTCGCATTCGTAGGCATAGCTGCATGGAGTTTATACGCTCCAGTTCTGTCTGTGGATCAGGCATAACATCTGTGTTTTTCAACAGAGTTGAACCTAGAGAGCAAGTCAACCAGTTGACAGCGTTTATTGATGCTTCAAACGTCTACGGTAACAATGAGCGTATTGCTGAGCACCTACGCGAGATGAGTAGCAATAGAGGTCTTATGAGAACTGGTATCTTAACTGCATCGGGAAAACCTCTATTGCCCTTTAATGATGGACAGCCAATTGATTGCAAAAGAGATCTTGCTGAGAGTACAATAGATTGCTTCTTGGGTGGAGATGTCCGAGCCAATGAACAATTAGGACTGCTATCAATGCACACATTATGGGTCAGAGAACATAACCGCATTGCAAAGGAGCTATTTCGTTACAACCCACACTGGGACAATGAGAAACTTTATCATGAATCAAGAAAGATTGTTGGGGCCATTATGCAACATGTTACTTATGCTCATTGGTTGCCGAAAATATTAGGTGAAAATGGCTATGCTAAATTAGGGCCTTATAAAGGATATGATCCTAATGTCAACCCATCCATTGCAAATGTGTTCGCTACTGCTGCCTTAAGATTCGGCCATACGTTGATTAATCCTGAATTAATGAGATTGAACGAGACATTTCAACCCATTCGCGAAGGTAATCTTCCTCTTAGGAAAGCATTCTTTGCACCATTTCGTTTGGTTGAAGAAGGTGGTATGGATCCATTGTTTAGAGGACTGGTGTATGCTCCAGCGAAATTAAAGCGTCCTGATCAGCTTCTTAATTCAGACTTGACAGAGCATCTATTCACAGTAAGTTTAGTGTCAATAATTGTACTTTTCTTCATAGCAAAGGTTAGTTTAAAAAACGAAAATAACTTAGTAACACAGATCCGAATCTGAGTGGTGTCTGGTAGTTTTAAACGTTGCTCCTGATCTACCCACGGTTTGATGGTTTTTAAATTGGAATCACACTGACGTCAAGATAACCACAAGGGGATTGTGTGATTTTCCTCTGTGCAACGTAAATACTACTCGGTTTCACTTTAAAATTTCTCTGCTAACGCGAGTTTGTCTCAGTATTTGATCCAAGAGTTAACTTATCTTTTGAGACATGTTAAAATTTGCAAGATAACAGTGTTGGACATTAAAAAACACACATCGGATGTATGAATTGGCTGTTCAAATTAATATATAAATCAGATACTTTATAAAAAGCTGTTTTACTGATTCTTTTATTATTTTAATACTCGGAATGTCTAATAATTACTAGATCAAAAATAATATTACTAAGTATAGTTCGCTGGTCAGGCAGAAATTTGTAACACCATCTCCTCAGACGCAGAGTTCATTTCAGCGCGGGTGTAAGAGGAGAAACATCTCCGCTATTGAAAATGAGACAACCCTTACTGCGAGCCAAACGCAAGCACACTTACTTCGCTTTATCATCTGCTATAATACCTTTCGTTACTCTAACTTATTAAATATATTTTTGACTTAAAAACCAAGCAAAATATCTTAAAAATTGACAAACTATTCACTCAAAACAGGGAAATATCATAAAATTTATGAAATATTTAATGTTAAATAAATGCACATAAAGATTGCGAAATAAATATTTTTGTCATACGATCGCCAAATAGCGACGTTATTCAGGATTATTCATATCCTTCTCCCAAAAGTAGCGAAATAGTATCGTCGGATACCATGTGATGAAGGAGGAGCCAAGTGCCAAAACTCCTAGTGAACAAACTAAACAAAATTTTAATATGATGAATATCATTAGAATGCTTGCAAAAGCAGTCTTTCTTTAAGAAACTCGAATTGAATAAAAATTTGAGGATTTCAGAAGCTGTTATGAAACGCATTACATTTTCTTTGAAAAATATTTTATTACAAATGTAGCTTTAAGAATTTTTGCAAATAAATTCTTCCACTAGTTTTCACTTATTAATCATGAAACACCCTATATATATCATAAATGGTAGTTACGTAAACCTACGTAATAATAAACTCTCGTTACGTAAAAATGACCAACGAATTGGAAAATTTATCAAAGAAAAATTGAAAGAAATGTACGGTTTGCTGCTTACTGCTAAGGAAACGCTTTTATTATTGCAACTAAATTTCAAATTTAGTTTCAAAGGTTCGTCAACTGATGGCACTGCTAACTGAAAAGCTATGTTAAAGCAATGTTTTATCCAAAACACCATTTCTAGCAACAACGTGGCTCGAGCTGAGGTCAAAACTAACAAACGATAGCGGAAATATTTCTGTTACAATAGGCTAACATGCAATCGAGTCGTTGCTTTAGAACTTTCCTCAAAGTCATCGTTTGAAAAAATGTTTACAAATTTTAAAAATTGGTGAGAATAAATCACTCGTTACCTAAGCAGAACATAACAAACTGTTCATTTCTATCACCTTTCCTTCAGCCTAAATTATTTTTTCAAGTCATTGCTAATTTTTAAATACTCTGTATTTAAAATCTTATGTTTGTTGTCTGTTTTTTGTTTTACTAAACAATGTGTATAGTGTATTTTAATGACAGTTATTAAATTAATTGAATTTATAGCCAGCCCATTTAGTTGCCCAAGATCTCGCTGCTTTAAATGTCCAGAGAGGAAGAGACCACGGTTTGCCGTCATATAACAAATGGAGGAAATATTGTAATTTGACAGTGGCCTCTACATTCGACGATCTCAGAAATGAAATTACGGATATCTCCCTCCTAAGAAAGCTGCAACAATTGTATGGTCATCCAGGTCTGCTCAAAAACTTTACTTCCCTTAAATTTTGATTACGAGTTTTCCAGGTTATTTCACATAATAGTAATTTGAAGTAGCAAATCTTAAATTGTAGGTCGAGTAGTTAAAGTAGTCTGACATTGTGTGCGAGAAAAATTGGCATTGTGACTCATTTTCAATAATCGACAGCTTTAACGCGTGTTATATAAAACCTATAGAAGTATACAGGGTGTTCTGTAATGATCGTCCTTAATATATATATTGAAGATTCTAGTTAAAAGTTAAACAAGAGATGTGTGGTTTAAAATTGCAAAATAGAAGAAAAAACAGCTATCTAAATTTAACGAATCACAACTAAAGAAGGCGAGATGGATAACATCAAATTCTTATTTGATAGTCGGATGAAATGGAGAGGAGTTGAAAAGTGTGTTTTAGCAATGCCTGCAGTTGGGCAGTCAAACAGGTTTTGATGTTTTCGGTCTCGTCTTCCTCAGTAAATTCATTAGATTTCATATTTTACCTTTCTTAAACATTATTTTACGCCCCCCAATATGCATATTTTTTTAGTAATTTTTGAAAAGTATTTTAATAATCGATATTAAGGAGCATCTTGAAAATAGAGTATTAAGTAAAACTTTTTTCTACGATCCCGAAAGAACCCTTTCTTCGCGTTTTAATTGTCTCCTTGTTGTCATTTTTTCTTTTGGTTTTTCTAAGACAAATTAAAATTACATTACAGTTTAATTTTATTAAAGCATTCCCGCAACAGCCCGTTGTAAGCTAGACTCCACAAATTTACCTTTAATTTTTCACAGTGTAACTGCTTTTCGCTTTTTTGCTTTTAAATTGCATATTTATTCCAAATCACGTAAAAAAAATATGAAGAAGGAACTAAAGTAGAAGAGTCATAAACATATGTTAATCTGAGGCGAGAAAATCTTGACTTTAAGTTTAATTTTGTCATTAATCAATTTCATTTTTTTCCATTATTATGAAGACCGCTTTTTTTTCACTATTATTATTATTAATTATTATTTATTTATCTCATATGAATCCATATTTCATATTTTTTTCCTCGCATTAAATTACTTGCCAGCTAATTATGCATTTATACATTTGTTTAATTTTGAGATTGTTTACTTTTACTTTGAAAAGCGTATTATTATTATAGGTTCATTTCACTATTGCAACCATTATTGATGATTCAAGATCTAGCGAATAACTAAGATCAGAAAAGAATCAAAGAAAAAAAGCGAATTAACGAATCAGTGAATAGATGAATTAGTGAAACAGATTTTTTAAGTTATGTTTCAAAGCAATTCGCAAATTTCCGACGTCATTTATCAAACTCATTACCGAAAACCTTGTTGGCGCATTCTGCAGTGACATCGGCAGTTTGCAATTGCAGCGAATTAACGAATCAGTGAATTAGTAAAACATATTTTATTAAATTATGTTTCAAATTGCAAATTGCCGAGGTCATTTGTTAAACTCATTATCGTTAACCTTGTTGGAGCAATCCGAAGTGACGTCAGCAGGTTGTAATTACTTTTAATACTTTTAATCGGCAGTTTAAAATTGCGATTTTTTTTTCATTGTAATTCACGAATGTTTGTTTGTAATTAACGAATTAGTGAATAGATGAATTAGTGAAACAGATTTTTTAAGTTATGTTTCAAAGCAATTCGCAAATTTCCGACGTCATTTATCAAACTCATTAACGAGAACCTTGTTGGCGCATTCTGCAGTGACATCGGCAGTTTGCAATTGCAGCGAATTAACGAATCAGTGAATTAGTAAAACATATTTTATTAAATTATGTTTCAAATTGCAAATTGCCGAGGTCATTTGTTAGACTCATTATCGTTAACCTTGTTGGAGCAATCCGAAGTGACGTCAGCAGGTTGTAATTACTTTTAATACTTTTAATCGGCAGTTTAAAATTGCGATTTTTTTTTCATTGTAATTCACGAGTGTTTGTTTGTAATTAACGAATCAGTGAATGGATGAATTAGTGAAACAAATTTTTTATATTAATGAAACATATTTTTTAAATTATGTTTCAAGGCAACTTGCAAATCGCCAACATCATCTGTCAGACTCATTACTGCGAAATTTTTAGTTTGTAAGGATCTAAATTTTTGCCATAGCTTAAGACATCTAAAAACTTAAAATTTGTAATAAGGTTTTTCATTTTTTTTCCTCCACTATTATAGATAACATTGATCTCTGGGTTGGTGGTATCAGTGAAGATTCAATTGAAAGTGCTAAGATAGGGCCAACTTTCCTTTGCTTACTCATTGATCAATTTAGAAGAGTCAGAGACGGCGATCGGTATGTATGATATATTTATCTCAGATGTTTATTATTTAGGCTTAAAAAATGATTGGAAAAAAAGTTTTTAAAAAAATTAATAATTTTTTACAGGTTTTGGTATGAAAATCCTGGTATCTTCACCACAGATCAGCTGACTCAAATAAAACAAAGTTCTTTAGCCCGAGTTATCTGTGATAATGGGGATAACATCACAACTTTGACTAAAGATGTATTCACTGTTCCTCATTTACAATCTCCAAAATTTACGTCTTGCTCATCTCTGCCGAGTATCAAATTAAATGTATGGACCGAATGCTGTCAAGGTGAATATCCGTTCGTAAATGTCAGCTCAAAAAATTAATTCCTTTATAGTTGTTTTATTTCTCATATTTTTTATCATATCTATGGAACTATTTACGAGAATCAAAAGATTTTCGAACCCACTTTTAATAAAACTCTCATGTGACCATAAATGAGTTAACTTAAATCAGTGCTTTTCTGCAACTAAGCATTCAAATCATGGACTGTAAATTAAAAGCGTTTTTATTTTTATATTTATATCAAATAAATTAGCTTAGCTTAAGTGGAATGCTCGTAAATTTTTGTTAATGTCTTTAGGTTCTTTTGTCGTCCTGCATGAGTAAAATTATAAGTTAAGTGAAAAAAACAAAATTTTGCATTATACATATATAAAAATTGTATTATAAAAAGTAAATTATAATTTAAAATTTTTCAGTTAATTTATTAATTGAATGTATACATATTGCTTAGTTTAAATTTAATAAGTAAATAAAAAATAATTTCACTTTTTGCATTTTTCCCACTCAATTCGTAAAAAAAAAATATTTCTGATACAGACACACATGCACACACACATATAAATAAAATCAGGTGATACAATTAATTATTATTTTCATAATGTGTGTATGCTATAAAAAATGTTTTTAGATCACTATATTGGATGTTCAGTTGTCTTAAATTATATAAAGATTATTTTAATCTAAAAATTACTTTTTAGCTATTTTTATTACTTAATTTAATAATGGTTTTTAAAAAGTTTTTAGAAATGTACAAAATATTTCTCTTTTTCTTAAACGATATTAATTTTAAATGGCAAAATTCAAACAGAATTGGCTGAATAGTAACTGAAAAATAAAAGCTTGAAAGTTCAACTTTGTCAAACTTTTATTTCTCAGAAATTATTCAAACGATATTAATTCAAATTTTTAGTTGTGTGTTGATTTTTAAAGTTCTTTTAGCATATAGTTAAAAACTTTTATATGAAATAATCTTTGAATAAATGAGTTTTATAATAAATAACTACAAAAAAATTTTGGTTATAGCAATTAAATTTAGATATTCAATGTAAAACGCGGAAAATAAAAATAAGGATCTTAAGTTTTCCATCAGTTTAATTAAACTGAAATGATCAAGTTTTCCACATTTCGAGGGTCAAAAATGCTATGTTTAATTAGAGAAAGTGCATTTTCGTTGCTGGTTTTGTTTTTAATTGTCAAATTCTAGATCGTTCTATTATAAAATATAATCAAAAACTATTCAGTGTGATTTCTTTTTACTGACTGAAGTACAACTTTTTTAAAATTTGAGAACTCTGAAACTATTCGACTGATTTCGTTCGAATTTTGCTTTTTGCCAAGTAAAATTACATTCTTTAAAACGATGTAAAAAATTGTATACCTGACAGTTCGAAATTATTTAGACTATTATTGAATAAAAAAATAATAAATACATTAAAAAGTTACTTTTTGCATGGAATTTTCTTAGGATAAACAAATTTTATAATTGTGAGCAAAAATTTTTAAATTCGCTTAAAAAGTTCTCGAGATTTGGCAAAATACGCAAAAAGTAAGATTAACATTAAGGGATCCAAATTATTAGGATTATAATTTTTCAGATAGTGGCTTCTCCTTATATTTTGGGGGTCAGAAATAAGACTCCGTCGGAAAAAGGGTTCTGTTTATTAAGAGAAAGTATGTTTTAATGTTTAATTTCGTAACTTAAAATACTGTCTGGATTAAGTAATTAGCATATTTGAGGTCAACACCTCAAACCATTAAGATTGAGTCCTCAAACATGAAGATCAAATCAATTAGATCAGAAGTTATTCAGAGTGGTCCGTTTATTTTTTGCACACTTTACGTAAGATAGGTGTTAAGCAATTAAAATATAATTACTTAACGCCTTCTTTGTTATGTTTTTTATTTTATTTTGTTTTTTTAATCACTGTTTCTATTAATAATACTTAAGAAATACTAATAATCTCATTTCAGAATGTCGTGCATCCAGAAATGATGAATTGAACGATATTAACCTCCGTCCAAGACGATCTTTTCTTGTGCGTTCAGAAGAGGAATTTAGTTTGCTAAATGACCAGGCTATACACCACGAACCATTTAATCTTACTCAACAGTCTAAGAAAGAACACGATTTAGACATCACTGAAGAAAGGATCGAAGGCATCGAGGAATTAGTTGGAAAACTAGAAAAAACAGTTCATCGCCTGAGCAGAAAGGTAAATACCACCTTGGTTTTCACCACTAATGTTAGACGTACGCAATACTATAACAGGGTGCGTAGCCAAATTATTCAACAAAAAATAAGCACCTTTTAAGCACTTTTCAAGCATTCAAAAAAAATTTTAAGCACTATAAAAAAACATCATAATTAGGCAGGGTTGGAAAGTTTTGACAATTGACGGTTTTATCATGTTTTAACCGTCATGTCAATAAAAAAAAAATTTGGCACTGTTTTTGACAATTGTCAAAAATCATGAAATTTTGAATCATATAAAACGAATGGCGTTTTCATACGATACGTTCTCTCTGACAATACATTGGGGTTGAAATAATTGTGCAAACGTTGAGTAGAACAATGTGAACTGAGTCTTTTTGCATAATTCGAAGCGAAAATCAACATGATAAGGGAAAAATTTCATTTTGTAAAAAGGAAAATTAAGCACTTTTTAAAAACACCCAATAAAAAAAGCACCTTTAATGGCTTTTAAAAAAAATATCGAAAATAAGCACCTTTTTAGCACTTTTAAAAAACGCTGCGCACTCTGTATAAGAATTTAAAAATAAAATTTAAAAAAAAACACATTAAAGGGGTTTAAAAATAAATAATACAGTAAAACCTTTTTAATTGACCACCTCTGTAAGGTGATCTTCTGTCAAAATTGATTTAAATAATCAAATACCGGAAACAGGCAAAAACAATTAAATTTCCCCTTTGTAAGTTGATTGCTTGTTTGAATGAACCATGAAATTTCTGAACTATTCAACTGCATTACATTATATTGAAGGTTTAATATATCAGTAACATCTTCATGAAATAGTCAAAAAACAGGCTTCTAAACCTTAATTTTCAGCATAATCAAATTAAATAACTCCATTGGGTTTCTGTTAAAGTATTTTCAGTTGCATTTTTTATTGCTCTCTACACTTTTCGACGACTTTCTGAACAGATCAGATAATCTACAATTGAAATAAATTTACTTTTAGTTCCATCACAAACTAAAAGTTTAAATTTGTAAAAGAAATCTAGACGCTTGTTAGATTAAAATGCTTGCTAAGTGGCATATATCAATCAATAAATGCTGTAATAAACTTTTTTTTTCTGTATAATAATTTTTTGTGGAAGATATTACTATGCAAATTATTTATTTTTGGCACATTATTGTTCTAAGCCTCAAAAATTGCATGCAAGCGATGCAATTTTTCCAGAAGAATGAGAGGATCACTTCAATGTAGTTATTTCACATAACCAAATGGACTTTTGAAGCGTATAAAAATCAGAAATTAATGATGGGCAGTCCTTAAATCAAACAAATAAATTTTCATATTATCATCCCCGTAAATAAATTGTCACATTTTTAAAAAAAAATCTTTATCAAACCTATTTTCTCCTGTTATATTTATCTTTTCCATTTTCATATCATTAGTAGCATTCTGTCATTCTATAAGAGTCACAAAAATGCACCTATTATTCAAAATAAAAACAACTATCTATTGTTGAAACATAAGTAGCTTCACAACTTCTACGCTTATAGTGTATTTGATCAAATTCAGACAAAAAATACTATCGTGAAGAAGAAAAAAAAAAAATTTCCAATCAAATTTAATATCTTTTTAACTTAATTTTTCGATTATTTTTAAAACATTTGCCTTTTACAACAAAATTTCAATCAAAATCTCTCACTTGAAATGTCCTTTGGCAACTTTGTATAGCAAGATATCAAAAAAATTTTAAAATAATTTGAATTAAGTTTATATTTGCAGAAAACTGTTTAGACAATTTCCTATTTTTCTCCATTAACCCCTTCTCTGTCCGTGTTGCATGCCATGCGACTAAGAGAAAAATTGCATCATTGAAATTTGTCACTATTTACACATCTCTTTAAATCCTGCGCAATATTCAAATTTCTAAATATTGCTAAGAGATGGTGCAACTAAATCCACTTTCTTCTCAATTTTTGCAGTAAGATTTCTCGCCTTAGATTGAAATCAAAATCATTTTCTGTGATTTCGTTTTCATTAGTGTTACCGTTGCATGACAAAATAGTCACGATGTATTCAGAGAGTTAGCCTGAGGACAGTGAATTCATTTTCCTTCAATCGGAAGATGATAGTCCTGATTTACCAAGTAAAAATTGTTTTCTAAAATATTTTTCACGTAATTTTAATAATTATTTGATGCAGATATTTATCTTCAACCCCTTAAAGCAATAGAGTTCATAAATATGTTATCACAGTGTATTTCTTTAAGATAAAACTTAGGTGTACTGCAGGAAAAACGAAGATCAGTGGATGGGACATAACATATTTCACCACCAATAGGTCGAGCAAAAATGTGCTTGCAGACAAAACTATTTTGCATTTTCGAATTTATAGAACATATATTAATTTTCAGCAATAAAAAGAAATGCCTTTTTTGGGTAGAAAACTCAAAAAAAAAAAATCCAACAGAGGAAAAAATTATTTTAAGAACAATTATTTAGAAAGAGGAAAAAAGTGTAGGGACTTGTTTATTTGCCAAAATTGAAAACACGTATTTTTCATGGTATAACTTAAGTTTACAATATTATTTCACTTCAAGGTTCGAAAGCTGGAAGCAGAATTTAAACATCAAAGAAAGGGAGAGTGCATTGATTCCGACAAACAGGCTCGAACTTCTGGTGAAAAGTGGAAAAAAGACAAATGTACTAGCTGCCAATGTGAAGTAATAACTTAGACTACTAATAGCTCAATACAACACATTGCAATATTGTGACATTTTAATAACGTTCTAACTTTTTTTTTAGAACAATCAAGTTACTTGCTGGGTTGAAACCTGTCAACCAAGTACATGCTTACATCCAAGAATTATAGATGAAAAATGCTGTCCTGTTTGTTGAAGAGATGCACAAATTCATTAGCTGTGTTGCAACTGTGTGCCATTTGTTTTGTTGTAAATAAAAATTGTGCCATTTTTTTCATAACATTTCCATTAAAAAAAAAAATTTCAAGTTAAAACTTAGTAAACAATTTCAATTATTTTAAGAGGTTTATAAAAATTGCATTTTTACATTAATTGGTCTAATTTTTGCTAATTTTGTTTTAGACTCCAATAATATCTTATTAAACATATTTTTTCAAAGATAATTTCGAATTTCTAGAGTATTATGCATATTAAAATACATCTAATTTAACAATAGGTATATAATCTGAATCAGTTGATCAAGAATTGTAAATTTAGTGAGTTAATTGGGTGTTGGCAATTTAGAACAATGTTACCTATACCTTTTATCAAATCTATTCAAGCAATAATTTTAATCACCATAAAACTGAAATTGCAACAAAAGTTTTATGTTTCAATTCAAATAATATAAATACTGAGGGGAAAAAAAATCCTGACTTTTCCCTTTTCATGACTAATTTTATTATATTACTTTAATTTTTGTAACTCATTGCATAAATTTTGTTAATTTTCATATTTGCAATTGTAATAATTGCAATCGAAACATAAAAGCAAGTTTTGTGCTTCAATGCAGATAATCAGGGTGACCACAACTCCGTAAAGAAAATCCTGTCTTTTTCTTTTTTAGAGATAAATTTTATAAAATTACCTTGATTTTTCTAACTCGTGGGAAGAGTTTTATTAATTTTTCACTATTTATTACAAAAAAACTTTTTAACTGAATTAGAAAATAAAATTTTAAAAAATATTTACAAGAAAACTAAATTAACTTATTACAATGAAAAGGATTCAGGAAATAGCAGTAATGAGATATAATATATGTCACACAGATGCATATTTTTTTCTGCTATTTAAATCAATGTGAGAAACTTTTAAATCAATTGAAACAGTATGAATGATTAAGCAAGCTTCTTAAAACCAGAACAAACTTTAGAAAATTTCTGGTGTATCCCTTAACTAATATTATTATAGCAATGTCTATTATATTCAAGAAAGTTTTATTATTACGATTTTTAGTGATATGGCAAGATTTTAGTTTACCACCAATATCTCCATTCAACATATATATTTAGAGTTTTATAAATTTAAGAGCCATTTTTTTTTTTTTTTTCAAAATTGGTCACAAGACAGGCAGGTTTAGATACTTCACATTTTTGATTTTGTTGTAATGTTCAGATGTTAAGACTTTTGCTCCTTTTTTTTTAAAAAAGAAATAAATAAAATTTAAGTTTTGAAGAAAAGAAAATGTGAGAGAAAAACATTCTTTATAGCAATACTTTTTGTGAAGTGAGTGAACCATAATACTGACCATTATTTTGATATTTATTAGATTCAACTATAATTGTTAAGCCATAAATACTTTAAGTGGACCTTTGCATTAAAGATGAAAGGCCATTCAAAACTCTTTAAAATAAAGCTATTTTCTCCACCAAAATCTATTAGTGCCAATAATAAACCACTAAAGTATATATTTCAATAAATACATACTAATGCTGTAAGTAAACACCAGTTTTTGTGAGTCGTATGCAAGATATAAAGTCTCCTGAACGATATAAACACACCACTATTGGGCAAACTCTTGTCAATCAACTACGCGACGACCTTTAAGTACGACTTATGAAGACTAGTTTTTCGTGTGACTTCCTTTGAAAATTTTTGTGACTCACGAAATCTACAAGTCATTTGGTTTTCACCTCCACCAATGAGAGGCAATATATTTAAAGACAAAAGTTAGCTTTTAGCTAAAGTTAACTCAAATTGTAAATTTTTTTTTCAACCCTTTACCAATATTTTAAAGCTAACTTTCATGCAAAAAATTTCAGTAATAAAAAAAATAGCATACTTTAGTTCAGAGACTGTTACATTTAAAAAAAAATCCCCAAAATATTAATTTTTCCTACATGAAATATTACAAGAATTAGAATAGAGTGAGGTTAAAATTTTAGAAGCAACTAATCTTGTCAACAACACTGAATCTGAATCAAATGATATATAGCAAGCATGAAATAATGTAATGCATTTTTGAAGTATATTTAATGCAAATATCACCACAGACATGCATTCTAGAAACAATTCCGTTCTGGAATCTTAAATAATTTCTCACTAATTTTGACACAAAAATATACAAGTTAAGCTTGCTTTATGCATATGTACAGTGCACATTTTTCATCTCACAAAACTTTCTAAAAATTAACATGTTCTGTCATTTGTCTACCAAATAAGGTCAAAATGCATTGACTAGTAAGGCTTAGATTATCTGAGGGTGTTTTACGATTAAGCTGTAAAATAAATAATCAAACAAACAGGTTGTGATGTAATCAACAATATTAATTCAAATAAAAAGGTGTTTTTATATAATTATGTCCTAGTTTAGAGAACAAAAATTAATTTGAACTTGCATTTCCATCTATAACGTCTTGCAGAAAATTAATAAAACAATTTTAAATATTTTGCTAACTTATATAAATTGAGATATTGGGTTATTTAAAAAAGTGAGATTGGGTTATTTAAAAAAATAAGACATCTTATCAAAAATTCATAATTTTTCAAAATTGCTTTTTGTTTCAATCTACTCATATGCAAAAATTTTCAGAAAACTACATCATGAAAACAATACATTAATTTGAAAATTTCATAAAAACAAAGCAAATGAACATCACTTTGAATCATTTCATGAAAACCCTTAAACCATATTGATTTAATCTAACCTTACTCAATGTCTTTTGATGATATAAAAATTATCTCCATACATTATTAAGAGCTTGTATATTATACAGAGATTTTGCTAGACTTTGGAAACTACAGGTCTTAGGGATACATAAGAATTAAATATTTGAAGGTTTTTTTTCTTTCTTCTTAAAGTCCCTGTTTGAAATATCTACCTCTTTATCCGTCTATTAATGCACATTCATAATTATTCTATTTATAAATTAATAAAACAAAGAATTTCAAAACAAGAAAAGCTGTATTTGAAGTTATATTCAAGGATTTTAATTGAGACTGATGAAATACCCGCACCAAAGAAAAGCAATGATGTAATATGATACTCAGAATTTTGCTAACATGGTATTTTTTTCACATTGGAGAACTGCGTATCCCCTGGTACCCTTAATAATTTTTTTTTTCATAGCGTACCCTTTTCACTTTTTGAGTTGTTATAAAACATAAGAATCACTGCTTAAAAAATAAACTAAGTAGACCATTCAAGTTGTATAGATTGAAAATAAAAAAACTGGATTTTTCCATTAATAAAATTAAATTATTTGAGTAAGTGCTTTATAAATGTCTAAAAACTTAACAAAATCCAAATACACATTGATTATTTGTTTACAGCTGTTACAAATAAAATCTGTTAAATTCAAATTATCAATTTTATAAACTTTTATTACAAACTCAAAAAATTCTATAAATAAATGCATTTAAGTAATACAAACTTGTGTTGTTCATAAAGTCAATGTATAGTAACTAAAAATACCCATAACATACATATGTACAATAAACAAATGTTACAAAAAGAAGTATGGTGAACAATTATAAATTTATGATGCTAATGAAGAAGAGGGATCATTTTGTTGATCACCAACAAATTTGGTGTGTTTCCCTTGTGCAATTATTTGACCCGTAACTTTATTCTTTACATCAACAGTTAAAAATGCAAGATTCTTGCCAACTTTTAATATTTTTCCTTCAATAAATAATTCATCTCCAATATTTGCTGGTCGAATATATCTGGAAAAAAAAAATTAACTTTTATAAGTCTACAAAATATAAATATTATACTTGTAAGTTATTTCAGAAAGTAAATTTAAAAATATATATACATATATAGTTATTAAAAACTTTTTTTGAATATATTTTTCTGTAGAACAGTAAATTGTTTTATCAAAGCAACATTTGTCTTTGATCAAACAAATTACCATTTGGCTGAATTATCCTTAATACAAGGCATAGCTTGCAAAATAGATAGCTTTATATTTATTTGGAGTAATGCATAACGTTTATTGTGACTATTTTATCTAGTTATAGCTTTTAAATGTAAATTAACAGTATGTGGAACCTAACAACATTTGTTAGAGCTAGAAAACTTTAAAAAATTAAACAAAATTTATTTGTATTATTGATTTTTCAAAAAAGGTTCTTTAGAGATACCTAGTTATCGTACTTTAGTCGAGATACAATACAATGATGCAGTATTCTCCAGGTTATCGGCGGATTATCCTTCCTTGAAAAAATTATCTTTTAAAAATTGTGTGGATCTGACAAGAAAATTATTTTAATGGTTTAGTACAATCAGTCAAGTAGTAGCTCTTGGCTTAAATGGTAAAATATGATAGAAAAAATATAAAAACTGAGAGCATACGTTTGAAAATAGATTTAAAACTGTGTATGCAGAAAATTTATTAGCTAACAATATATTATTTAAAGGCTGTTTAGTGAAGAGGGTGTATATGTATAAAATTTAATTTTATAATATAGGGTTATACATGAAATATAGGGTATTTCATGTATAAAATTTAATTTTATAATAGTTTACAACAAGATTTTTTAATTTTTAATAAGGGAATTTGCATATTTATAATACTAATAAATGAACAGGTGAGAAAATAATAGTATTTGAGAAATCTTAGAATAATGTACACATGAAAGTATAGATGTATTTCAACAGCCTCAAAAGTGTAAGAAAAAATAGCAGAGGGCAGAAAATCACAAATTAGAGGACATTGGTCTAAAAATAGAAGGAAAATATACTGAATACTAATTCAAAGAAAACATAACATATACAGTAAACTCCCGATTATCCACAGGTGGATTATCTGCTTTACGAATCATCCGTGCTTCACTTGCAGTGACAAAACAATATAGCATTTAGAATGGAAAATAAATTCATAGAAATGGAATAATTTCAAAGAGTTTGGAGAACAACATACTAGCAAACATCCATGCCCATAGCCCTAGTGTTTTTAAACAAACAATGGGTCTACATATATACAATGCAACTTCAAATGCAATAACTAAGTAAAAACGAGCATTCATAAAGCGCAAGATAATGTGAGTTATGATTTACAACTGTCGAACTACAATTGCAGAATGAAGATCAAATTTCAATTAATGGATTAGACACCCATCAAAGCAGTTTTTTCTCCTGGAATATATTATTTTCGAAAGCAATCATAGCGATAGCAAGTAGAGAAGTTTAGTTTTATTTGTCTTGCCTTCATATGATGAATGGTAATGAATTATCATTGTAAATTTATTTAGTTAATTTAACAAATGAGAGTGGTCCTCACACAACACTTACACCCCTAAAAGAATGAGGCAGGGCCTTGAATAATTTATGGGCCATATGAATGGCTTCAAAATAGTAAGTTTTGTTACTGACAAGAGTTTCTAAAAATCGTGTATGTGCAGTAATTCTTTATAAGAACTAATTTACGTGTTACAAACATTTTTTGGTGCATTCTTTTTTCAATAGTGTATGAACGCCCCAGTAAAAAGTCTGTGTGTGCCTGATTTATTTTAGCCTCCATCTCTTCAACACCAAGAAATAAAAAAATTGGCAGGCTTTTTTATACAGAAATAAATTAAAAATGTATAAGAAGAAAATGTGAAGAAAACTGCTGATAATAAATATTGAAATTTATATTTAAAAAAAACAATGTTGAGTGTTTTTTTTTTAAGTGCTTTGCAGATTATCTGCTAATTTGCATATCCGCACTTTGTGGGAAGTTTACTGTGCATCATTATTACGATATATGCAAAATATATAACATATATAAACATTATATGCAAGATATATAACATATATAAACTTATACAAAATTAATATGATAGATTTTTTTATTACATATGCAAGTGATAATATGATATCTGACAATAGCAATTGATAACATACTTTTAGTAACCTGCATTGATAATTTTTAGGGTAAGTTTTACTGTCCCAAATACCCTACATATTTACTTAAAATTTACCATAATATAAAAAAATTGAAATTTTAATAAGATTTCACTATTAATTTATTCATTTAATATAGATCTGCAGATTTTATGACATGCATGTTTTGTGTTAAAAAAATGACAGTAATATAATCAAATTTAATAGGGCCGCGATATTGGATTTTGTTGTCAACAAGCACAAAAGCAGGGGCAATAAAAATGTATCAAAATTAGTTGCTGAGAATAAAAAATTTACCAAACATCGGGTGCAGATGCACAACAAATTATGTTCCTATCTGTTTAAACAGGAAATTTTCTTTATTGATACATTTACCAAATTAATTTCCTAGTTTGGATGATTTCTGGGCATTTACATAAAATAACATATGGAAAACATACACGTTATTTCTGTGTTAGTATTTGCTTGAATCAAATGCAAAAATTTTAAAAATAAATTTCTCAGGGGATTACAATAACATACTACCTTGTTTTTTTTTTAGTTTCTCACATACCATCACTGCCTGGTTGCTTCGAGAATTTAGCCACTTTTTGGGACAAGACACTATAAACTTTTCTTTATTTATAGCAAGTACAAAGACCTTGGCATTGCATCTAGCACAGTTAACATAAGCATGAGGGTAGAACACACTTTTTTGTATTTAAAAACTGTTTGTCTTTTGACTGATTAAATTTTATAATCAGGGGTCTGTTTAGAAAAAATTTGGGTCCGTTAACGGACCCTTCGCAAAATATCTTATCATGAAACCTTCACAAAATAATTTATCTTTTAATCAGACCCTTCACCAATTTGTTTATCTTCATTATTGTTTTGTTAATTGAATAAACTCTTCCCGGGGGGGGGCAGAGAAAGACTAAATAATTGATCAATTTATATTTATTCATAAAATTAATTAATAGAATATTATGTAAATAAAAACTAATTTCTGACAATTCTTAAAATATTATAAATTTAAGAATTGTTTAAGTTTATTTAATGCATAACACATTAAAAGTGATACATTAGTAAGTTGCGTTAGTTAAAATATGTCAATTAAAATTATTAAAAATGTGAGTGATTTTGTTTCCATAATTCGTCGGAAATGAATATTCTGTGTTGAGCAGTATAGTCTAAATACCAAATATTTGTATGTTGCATCTCTAATTTGCAATTGTTGAGCAGAATCTTGTATCTATTTACAATTTAAAAACTCCTTGAAAAGGTTTTCAGCAATTTTTGCAATAAGAGGACACTATTTGCACAAATTAACAAAAGCAGGTCCTTTCACAAAATATCTGGACAGACCCCTGATAATATAAATAAGTACATATTTTACTATTTAAGTACATGTATAAGTACATATTTATATAAGTACATAAATTGGTATATATACATAAACTGAAACAAAACTACACTTTCTATAAACAAAAAGTGCGTCTCCTACCAACAATCAGTATCCATTAATCATTATAAAACTGTTTCCAACAAAGATTTCAGTATAAAAATTGTAAAAAATTATTCAGACAATTTTTTACTTAACATTGCAAGAAAAGACAATTTTGTTATTTTTCTTTACAAGTAATTATTATTAATCCTATAAATAAAATATTAAAAGATAGAGATAGACAAATATGAACAAAATACTTTAATATAGTACTTACGAAACACTCATTTCTATACTAACACCATATCTTTCTATTTTGCTAAAGAGAGCCATTGTTGAAACTGCATCTACGAGGGTAGAAGTCATTCCTCCATGAAGTAGTCCATTCCTATTCTTATGCTCGTTGGCTACCTTCAGTTCACACACACACTGGCCAGCCCCAGCTGACATCACTTCAAGCTACAAAACATCATATGTAAATTTAAAATTCAATATTAACTAACTTCAAATAAAAACATTATAAAATTACAGTATAAACACATTAAATAATAATGAAACTAATTAAAATATTAGTTGATATAACTAATATTCTAATTAGTTTTATAATATTTTAAATAGTAGTAAAAAGAGTAATAGCAGTTTAGTCTATATAAATAGTAAATAGTCTATATAATAGAAATAGTCTAGATAAATAGTAGTTTCATAATATTATAAAATATTAGTTTCATAATATTTTTATTAGTTTAATTTCATTAGTTACATTAGTTAGTTTCATTAGTTTAAATTCATAATATTTTAACTAGTTTAATATTATAAAACATTAGTTTCATAATATTTTTATTAGTTTAATTAGTTAACTCTAAACTAAAAGCATTAAATACTGATTCTGATTTTTTTAAATGAATTTAAACTAAATAAATAATTTAAAATTTTAATGAAACAAACTTTCATATATGAATTCTATAGCAGTTAATAACTCACAAACTTGTAGACATAAATTTTAAAAAACAAAATAACAGGAATTTCTACAATTCAAATTACTATCAGAAATGAATTCCAGTTAATAGTTTTTAATTATTTATGATACTTGGTAATGCTTAAATTTAAAGACTAACTGAAGACATAAAAAAAACAATACATAATGCAGATCAATTTGAATATTTTAATTAAGATTTATTCACGAATCGTGAAAGTTTTCCATCTGTACTTTATAATACTAAAGATGGACTTTAACAATGTAAATACAACACTAAACAAAAATATTGTTTTATTGCTGTAAAAAAATTTTGTCTTTTTTAAAACTTAACATGCCTTAAAAATGCAATTACTAATCTACAAGGCAATGGAATAACAAAACAAAAATCTTAAGAGCCTTTGAAAAAATAGCATTACTGGGGAAATTATTCTTATCGAAATCAATTTAAATACTGGAAAAAAAAATCATAAAATAAAAACTAAAAATGATCATATTTAATTAGTAATACACAAATAAATAAAAATGATCAAACTTCATTAAAAAATTAATATCGGAGAATTAAGGAAATTTTAATAAATCTAAAAACTAATATGTTTATTCACACATTTCATTTGTTTACACGCAAAGTTCAGTTTCAAAAGAACAACGATTTGTACTTAAATTAGTTTATTTGATCGACATAAATTTCTTTAGAAACAGTCGGACAATTATTTCTGAAGAAAGCTAAACTGAGCTCATCAGATAGATATTTAGGTGTTAAGTTAATGTTTACCCTGAGATTTCCCGCATATTCAAAACATGTGCATGTCACGGACGATGATTTCACAAAAAGGGGTCGGTCATATTTTAAAACTCGAGCTTTCAGAACTCTCACATCAATAACAATAACAATCGAAAAATAAAATTTCCAACTTTCATTAGAGCTCAACAAAAGAAAATTTAATGCTATTATTCAGATATTTATTTCAAATAACATAGCTCAAGGTAGATGTTCAATGCCGCCATGATTCGCAGCATCGTTTGTGGAGTACCCCTTTAAGAGACTCACTAGAACAGATAATAAAACGATTATATACCAATTTAGAACAAAAAGTACGTACCTTGTCAAGTACTCGATCGAATCCCCCTTCTTCAATTAAACTTTTCAACATAGTTATTATTCTTACTTTCATTAAAGACATGGTTAATGCTACGGCTTTTCCAAGCTTCAGCGTTCGCCTCAATTCCTGATTGGCTTGCGGTACTGTTGGGGGCGGGGGAATATCATGCCCGTAATGCTCTTTTACAAATTTGACAATAACTTCCCCCGAGATTCTGTTAATTGTAGCTACCATGCTTGCTGTACATTGATGTCCCATTTTACATGTAACTTTTGCTTTTCTTTTACCTGTACTTTGGCTAATATAGGATCCAGATCTGTTACAATGGAAATACTGTTGTACAGCATTTTTCCGTAATTTATCACCTTGCGTTTTGATAAATCGAACTCGCTCCGATTTTTCTAATTTTTTCTTCCAATGTAGAAAATTGCGTTTAGTTGGGAAAAAACGGTAATCTTCGTTAAATGTAAAACCATGTTCTTCGTTTAAATGCGTTCGTAAATCGGCAATTGTTCCGAATAAACCGTTACAATAATTTTCTGCACACGGAATTCGGTGATTCGATGTATCTAGAGGAACATCAATGTTGTGACACTTCTTTAAATGTTTATTTCTATTGCTGTTAGTCGTGTACGATTTATCACATAAATGACAGTTAAATACTTCTTCTATTGGAGAATCGGGAGCTATATTGGAGTCATTGCTTGAACTCGCCATGCTTTTCAACTTCGCGGCATAATTATTTATCGACCCGATCCACGGTAATTGAAGACCGGAATCCAAAAATGGCTACGAGGATCTCGAAGAAGAAGCGCGGCAGCTATTGCAGAGAATGCGAACCCCCGAATGCTGATTGGACGAGATTTTTCGACCCTCCCCTTGCAGTCTTTCTAGCTGTCATTCAAAGTGGGCGTGCCGCAAATTGTTTGTATCGTCTGCTGATATTAAAAATGAATTTATTTCAGTTAAATAAATGCAGAATATTGAGAAGAAGAAAAAAACGATTGTTTTGCGAAAACTTATAAAAAAATATAAATATTTTGAACAAATATATATAAATATTTTAACAGAAAAGAAATAGATAAAAATTTACTTTTTATATTTAAATAATTTAAAATAAAAGTTATTGATATATTAACATAAAATATACATATTTTTTTATAAAAATTCCTATTTTTAATTTTTTAGAAAAAAATTAATTTAAATTTTTTTTAAAGAATAAATATTTTCCATTTATGCCTATGATATAAAGTGCAATTTCATCCAGTATTTTTCTTGCAGTAAGGCATCTAAACATTGTTTATTAATACTCATTGTCTTGTCTATCAAAATGTTTAATACAATGCTTTTGATATGAATAAAATTAGCATATACTGTTTCTTTTTTTTTTCAATTATAAATAATTCTGCTTTCAGTTATTTTTTTATCAAAAATATTGAAACTGCAAAATAAAATAAATACCATGCAAACAAATTTCTTTAATATTCATATAACATTTCAAGATTATACATAAAGTACTGTTGAAGCTTCTAAAATAGATATAATTAAATACAATACTTATCAACTCCATAGTGAGATCTTAACAAGATAGGTATTTATACAAAATAAATACTCAGCTACAACAAAACACATTGTTAAAACTAAGAAAATAAAAAATAATAAAAAACATTGAAAGAAAAACCACATCAATACATACACTAATTAGAAGTCTATAACCTTTTTGCAGAAAAAAAGATTTTTGCCTTTGGAAACTGTAATAAATTACAGTTTTTGTATTAATTGAAAATAGCCTAATTTTCAATTAATACAAAATATTGGGGTATATCTTTTATAAAATTTCAATATCTTTTATAAAAAACAAAGACAAAATATCTTTTATAAAATTTCAATATCCTCATATACATTACTACATACACTATACTACAAGTCCATAACCTTCACACAGAAAAAAAGATTTTTGTCTTTGGAAACTGCAATAAATTAATAGTTTTTGTATTAATTGATAATATCTTAATTATTCTTTAATGTGGTAGGAACAATATCTGTCATATACACACATTCTCCATCTTTTATAAATTAAATAACAAAGGATGTAAAATATTTTTGAACTGCAAACATTTGAAGTTTTGCCAACTTAGTATTTTTTTTAAAAAAATGAAGCTATAGCAGGTTTTATCTATAAAAAACTTAGCTTTATTTACTTATTTTTTAACGTATACATACATAATTGAATTTTAGCTTTTAAATAAATCTTTGAACTACATTTTTTTGGAACATGTTTTTATTACAAAAGAACTTTTCAAATAGAAAAACTGCAAGCCTTAAATTTTTTGATACATTGAATCAGGAAATTTTAGTGCTAAAATTTCTTTATTTTTAATTTTTCTTTTAAATTAATTTGAAAAACACTTATAAAATGCCTTATAGCTATATAGGTTTTCCAATAAATATTGCATTAAAAAGATTCAGTATTAAGGTATTTAGCCCTTGGCTGCAAATTGTGCACCTTTACCCAGAATATACATTTCATATTGTTGTTCGAAGAAGAAAATATAAATCAGCTAAAGCAACAACAGTTGATGTAATGATGCCCATCATTACTTGAGCAGGAATGTTTGGTTCAGGTAAGGCATATTCCACAGCTTTATAAGCAAAGAAAAAGCTTCCAACTACAGCAAACATGAAATTAACAATAGCAGCAATTTGAGATGTTACAGACCGAATATCATCCCGAAAAGAAACGTTGTTTCGTTGTGGTTTAGAAAGATTACGAACCATGGAATTGTATTCTGCATTAGATTGCTCTGCTTTCAATCTAGTAATTCTTTCTTCCAGTTCAGGACTTCGTGGAGGTGGTGGCGGTAAATAAAACTGAAGATCACACTTTTCTAAAATTTCGTGAACAGGTGCATCTTTAAAATGCCCCCTCTGAGCTAGGGAAATAAAATTAGAAACCGAAATACTGTTATCTTTTAATTTAGAATCAGATTTTTCCGATTCCTTACTGAAAATATCTTGGTCATTTTCAGGAGGTAGAATTAATAAATCCATTAACACCATTGTTTACTGATTCAAAAACAAAGATAAAAATATGCGTCTAATAAGTCATTCAGATAGATAGTATTTTACTCTATACAATAAGTATTTCGAACTAAGCTCTTCATTTAAGTTTACAAACGTTTCTTGTTTAGTTGCAACTATTCTACTTTATTCGAAGCAGAATGATAATTTATTAAGTTTTCACTTGATTACCACCTTATTTAGGGGATTACTAGATAAAGTTCATTGATTGATTGATTGATTACTTTCAAACGTAACTCATTCATTTAGCACTGTAGTTTCGCTTGTCATCTTTTTTTAACGAGAACAACGATTATTGCTTGAGTTTTTTTTTTGGTTTCACGTCACAAAATAATAAAAATTTTAATTTTTTTGAAAATGTGGGTAGTTATTAGGTAGATATTTTATAAAAATCTTTGAAATAATTGTTGTTAATTTTTTTTAACGTGTGAAATTTTTTTTATTATTATTTTAAATGGATTGGGAGTGGCAAAAACTAGCGCAAAACACTAGGCTGTTTTCAAAGAAGTACAATATGAGCTTAGAATAGAACGATTGAGTTTTTTGTTCGTAAAATTTAAAACTCTTCACTTATAAATTTAATAGTTCGAACGGTTTAGTGTGATCCGCTTTCACTGCTTACTTAATTACTCAAAGAGTTTTTGTTTTGTATTTTTGAATGATTCATCACGCCGATCTGTTGAGGTTTCGCTTCATTAACTATAAAATGTCTGTATGAATTATTTATTTGCTAACGTTATATTCTTCTGCTATGATATTTGTTGCATCGGGTTATCGATTTAATATCTGAAAGATGACTTAAACAGGTTCTTAAATTTTCCTGCTACTTAGCTTCTTATTTCCTCTTACCTCTCATCCTCCTTAGGAAATCATGGCTGGTAATTATTCCTTTAAATTAACTGAAATATATATATTTATTATTTGCTTTGTATGTTATTTATATTTTGCATGTGATATAGATTTCAAATTATGTAGTGGTAATATTTCTATAAGAATTATATCTTTAAAATCTTAATTTATCTTTCGAAGAATTTATTTTTTAATAATCAATTAATTCTTAATATTTCCTATGTAATTATAATGGAATGTTTTTGATAATCTTTCGCTGCACTTTAATTTTTATAGAGTGATTTTACAAAGATTCATATACATAAAGAATTTTTTTATCTCTATCTCCTTATTAATTTATGTTACTGTTATGATTTATTATAATGTGATCACTTACTGTACCTGAAGGCCACTCTTCACTGTAAACACTATGAAGCTCAATTTTTATCTTACTTGTACATGTTTATTTATTCAATGATAAGGTACATAATGGATTAAATCTTAAAAAATAAGATAAAATAATAGTTTGATCTAAACTTTTTATTATGAAATCAATTCTTGAAATTAAGCATTGTACTTCTTTTAATTTTATTGTTACAATTAACATATTTACATTTGTTTTCCTAATTGAAAAGATATTTCTGCACTTCCATTTTCTTTTTTTTAAAAAAAGATATCCACGTAATGCTCTTTTTTAAAAATGAAATATTCTAATAAAAATTATGCAAAAAAGAGCAATTTATTGTCCCGTGCATTACACAAAAACACATTTTTTATTTTTTCCATTTATTTTTATGGCTCAGAAACTGCTGTAAATTTTTCTTAATTTTAGTACCAATTTTTATTTAAGAGAAAGTTTCTCTAAGTTTAATATTAAATAAACTCATTTTCATGTCCCGTGCATATCTTAGATTTCTAAAAAATATGGAAAGTCAATAACTCTATGAGAATTTATAACATAGGTGGCTGAATAACTTTAACAACTTCACTCATGTTGTAAAACACTTTATCTTCCTGTTTAGGCCACTTTCAAAATTTTCCAGACTTTTTCATGGCAGAAACTTCAATTTCATTTCCCAGCACTTGCTTTACTTCTTCAGCATATAAATAAACTATTAATGTATTTCACTACAACCCAATTTCCTGCAATTTTTTAGGAGTTAACTGCTATGGTATTAAGATTTTCTTTTATTGGTGTTACAGCATTTTCATGAAATTTTAAACCAGAAGAAGGTGAACATATAATTATGTACTTTTTTGAAATTCCTGATATTATTCTTGCTTTAGCCTACACATTCTTATCTCTCCTTATATTTCTATCAAAAAGTAGCATTACTGTTGTAGAAGATGGCATAGCTTTTTTTACAACACTTGCAAAATTGAAGACTGCACAATTGAAGATTTTATGCCTAGCATTTTGCTTTACGGCCAATTCTGTCCACCACACCTTTGCTGTTTAAGCAGTTGCAAAATATTTCCACTGGAAAGTCTGCTTGAATTTATTGCTAGGGTCTTTTAGCAGCAAGGTCATGCATCTATTTTTAAACTCTGGTGAAGGTCCGTCTGTCTAGATTACCTCTTCAAGAAACGTGTTTTCCTCATCATTTGGCTTAATTTCTTCATAAATTTTTTCAAGATAGCCTTTGCAATATTTTTCTTTCTTTCTCAAATGTGTAGGAACATATTGGGTAAGTACTGCATTTTCTGTGTACAAATACTGCAGCTGTTAATAAAGTAAGGTTTTTTAGAGTTCACTCTGTACTTCAGCCTGGTATGAACTTCCTGATATCTCTGTACTTCCATAGCAAAATCCTATTGCAAAACTCATTTTTCTGGTGAACTTTTTTCATTTTGGAATTGAACTTTTTATGTCAATATGAGAACTTATTGATAAAAATTTGTCTTGTGTACATTCCAAAACTCCCCTAATGCATATCTGCTGCTTGGCAATGTAATTTTGATTTAATTAGTGTAAATACACATTTTTTTCCTGTTTTTTTCAACAAACATTATGAGAAAGATCTTCATTACATTTTAATTTTTGCCTTTTGCAGCAATTTTCATAAATTCCTTGCTAACATGTAGAGTTTATGGAATTATTACTAAGTATTTCTTTCCAAAATAAGGTTGAATCATATGGAACTTTTTGGGCCTATAGCTGGAGAAGGAAGTTTTCACATATTGTATATTTACACTGATCTTCTGGTGTTTAATGCAGAAGAAAAACATTTTCTGGTCTTAACTTGCAAAATATTGAGAAGCTGATGGGACCATTCGGATATTCATTCTTAAAAACAGAATATACTTTTTTCAGATATGGTCCTCATACATTCTCTATTTTTTTTCTCCATAATTCTTCATGCCTGTGCTTATAAAGCTTCGCTCTTTCTTTTCCCGTTAATTTTGCTGGAACAAGGGCCATCTGTAATTCTAAAAATATAGATAATATATATATAGCAAGCATAACTTCAGTTCTTAATTTTTAAAGTCATTGAATAAAAGAAATCAAGTTATATTAACTGAATTCTGAATTCAAATTTTTCAGCTCGATAAAAAGAAGCCATTGGTTCTAAAATAATTTAATTTACTATAATTGTTTATCTTAAATATAAAATTTATGTTTTTATAACATGTTTAATAAGTAAGATTTTAATTCATATTGAATTCTTAAATTTACAAAGCAAAACACAGGGTTGGGTTTTTGACATCAAAAACTGATTTTTGACATGGCACACCAAAAACCTGGGCAAGTTTATCATTGGAGACATTTTATTAGATACTAAATCATGCTCTATACTACTATAATTATGATTAAATACTACTACAGTGCAGAACCTCTTATCCGGAAATCAGATAACCGGAATGAAATTCAGAACCAGAAAAAAAATATATTTTTCTTGCAAGATTTTAAGCCCATTTTGTTATTTAGAGCGTACGGCGTATCGAGTTGACGAAAGAACTGATTTAGAGGACGGATCAAAAGCCGTTTGTAGACGAATCTCACATAAGCACAAATAGCTTATATATGTTATTAATGTTAATAATAACATTAATAACATATATAAGCCTGTATATAATTTTTATTTCATAATTTCTTTCCTTATTTAAACTTAAGTGTATTATTATTTATCATTTTTTATTATTTCTAAAACTATTTCAAAATTATTTTTTAGTTTCGTTTTATAAACATTAAAAAAACGGCATTTTGTAGCGATTCTGAAAACCGGAAAAATCAGTTATCTGGAATCGCAATGGTCCCAATCGTTCCGGATAATTGGTTCTCTACTGTGTAATTATGATTCATATAATGTATGGCATAAAAAAAAATTGCCAAAATTATTGAAACTATGAATTTGTTTTTCTAATGGTAATCTTAATACTTAAAGACCCATATTATACCTAACTGTTTGCTTTATATTACTGATAATAACTTCAAGTTTTTAATTATTATTAATCTAAATATTGATTTTAATTCTTATATGTTACAATTTAGGCAGATTGTTTGGATTACAAAAAATTTAAATGTTCTCCAAAAAGTATAATTTTTTTATAAATTCCAAGTATTTGTAGTTATTAACTATGGTTAGGGGAGCAAAATATGTTGAACTGCATGGACAAGGCTGTGGAGAAAATTCAGGCAGCCATGAAAAAATTTTTGGCCTAAAAAATTCCTACAATTACTTTTTTTTTTAAATGTGTCACTTTGCAAAACTTTTTCTATTCAAAATTTGACAAAACTTTATCTTTGAAGAACATATATCAATTTTTTGTATTTATTTGTTTGAATTCCTTAAGTTAATTGGAGGGACGTTAAATTTAATTTAATAAATTATTACTATTTTAATATATTTTAATTTCTATTATTTTATAACACATTTATTTAAGGATTGCATAAAATCAAAAGAATTTTTTTTCTTCTTAATTTTCCAAAAATATCTTGAAAAAGTTATTGTTCTGAAAAAAAAGCTAAATCTTTTAGGAAAATATTTATGAAAAAAAAACTTTGTTCATAGGGAATATTTAGTTCTGAAAATTTTCTGCACTCCTGCTTACATGTATATGAATATTTCCTAATCAGTGAACTAATTACTTATACATTAATATAATATTAATTATATTAATGTATAATTAGTTCACTGATTAGGGAACTAATTATAATTTATAAAAAATATACATGTTTGTTTGAAGTAGTTAATAATTTTTTCAATAAATCAATTCCAGAATTTAATTAAATTATTATTAATAATTAGTACAGTTATTAGAATAAATTTCATAGTTACATGTTATTTTATTATGTTATAATACCTTTAGTAGGTCTGCTTTTGGGTGTTCAACTTAAAAATACATTTTGTTTTGCTACGAAAAAAACTATAAGACTGAGAAACTTGAAATTACTAAGGTTTGAGTGTATAAAATTGTACATAATTATGATGGAATAAAAAATATTAACATGAGGTCCATACTTGTTTATGAACTTTACATAGAAGGGTTCTTTTTTTCTAATTCCATTTTGAAAGTTATTGTAATTTATTTATTTATATTATTATTATTTTNTTTTTTTTTTTTGTGGTTTTAGATTACATTTTGTTTCGGTGCTCAAAATCTAAAAAACTTGAAATTACTAAGGTGCATAGAAAAGAGCACAGGGATTGTGATAGAATAAAAAAAACATAAACAATTTGAGTGTTAGTTTGAGAATTATTAACTGTTAAACTTGTCGTTAAAAAAAATCCATGTTGGTTGATATACTGTTTGCTGAAATGCAACTACAGAGTTGAAATTTGACATGTTGATTTCAAATTATTAACTTAATGTGATGTTTTTTTTTTCTTCCAAAATTCCTATTTGGTGAAAGTTATTGCAATTTTTTATTCCTTTTTTTTCTTTAAATAATAATTATTTATCTATTTTGGTAAAAAAATTTATCTCTCTTGTGATTTTCATTTTATAAGCTAACACTTAACTTGATGTCATAAATAGCAAAATAGAATTGAATAAATAGAAAATAAGAAGATGTTGTGCAAATAAATAAATCATTTATATTGAAATTTATAAAACTATAAAGAATGAAGAGAGAAAAATTGTTTATGAGGCAAAGTGTTATATATCATTAACAAGTTAAATTATTTCTTATTTATTACTTTTTATTGTGTCCTACATTCTGTATTCTTAAGTTAATTTTTTTTCTTCTCAAGTCCAATTCATTATTTTTCGAATCCAGTTTGCTTTTCATTTCGTTGGGATTAACATATTAATAAAATTTGCTTACATAAGATTATAGTGATTACATTATAAAATCAAAATAGCCTTTTTTTATCGACTTTTAAAAAGATCAACCAAGATGAAAATTTTATTATAATGAAAACTGATTCTGAGAAAAACAAATTTTCACATAAAAAGGAACTGATTTTCCACAGCATAGCTCGTCTTCACTGTTTGATAACTCTCGTGAGAAATTGAATTTCCACAATATTGATTTGCCAAAATTATTAATCCTCAATCTGATCATAATTTTTGTAATAAACTGACATAAACCTTTGCTTCCTCTTAACCCTCAATGATGAATGAGAAGCAATCGCCAGGCTTGTAATAATAATAATTTTTTTTTTTTTTTTGCTATTCATGCCTTTATAATATAGTTTAAAAGGGCTAGGGCAAATGTGCATTAGAATTGCCTTTCTTCATGCATTATAGTATTTTTGGCAAATCGTATTTTTGATTTAAAGGACAATTTTTGTTATTTTATCAGTTTTACATTTAAAATTTGTTCCATTGAATAAACTTAATATAATAAATTAGTAAATTATGTTTATACCTAAATGTGAAAATAATTTTTTTTTTCAAAATTATATTTAAAATTGTTTTTGTTTACTCGAATAACAAATCACAAAATTGTTATATTTGTACATAATCATAATAAAACAAATTTCCTTGTTTTTAACAAAAATTTTAGTTTTTATTGATTTTTTCTAAACTGTAAAATTGTTAATAAGAACAAGTTTATTGTTTTTTTATATCCTACCCTTTTGTGAAATGTACATTATGTTTATTAGAAAGTCTTAGTTTAAATGCATGATTTATTTTTAATTATGCTAAAAACTATAATAAATATTTGTTCCGATTCATGTATACAGGAGAACATGAAAAATATAAATGATATTTCATGCTATAAAAATAAAGCATTTACATTTAAAAATTTTATTTTGAATCTGCACAATGCTCCTATTTCAAATGCCTTTTTTAAATTTAACTATAAATGAATGTTTCTTGAGAATTATTTTTATTAATAATTTTTATTAATATTTTTTTTGCTTGTTATTTATAATTTCGTCCATAATTATATATCCATAATTATATCTTTAAAATATTAAAATTTATATGAAGATATTATTTTTTTTAAAATTTTCATTTATCCTCTAAAAAAAACACCTAATACAATTACCATTTTTTTTTAATATTTTTAAAGTTATTATTAAATCTATATTATGTGTCATTTTTTTTTTTTTTTTACAATTAAAGCTTTAGATTTTTTCAGTATTAATTTTAAGTATTTGAACATTATTTTTAAATTCAATGTTCAGTTTTAAATAATAATGTTCCTTTCAAAAAAAATTATTTTGAAAAAAAAAATTTAATAATTCTATCCATTAGTATTAAAATAATTAATATCAACACACCTATGTCTTATCTTAACATTCCCCAACTCCCTGTATTGGAATGAACTTTCCTACCAATCAATAACTGCCTGCTACTGCAGATCCAAAACATAGAAGCAGTCCAGCAACACTCAGCTTCTTAATCTGACACTCATAACATTTCTCTTCAATAAATTTTAATTCTTGACTTTTTCTCCAACTACAAGGTCATTTAAATATTCTATAAAATTATTATTTTATTAACAGTGAAGTTGATAGGAAGTTGTTAGGAATCATTAAAACATAGCTTTTTCTGTCATTTTAAAATTTATAGTATTTTGCATTGTTTGTTTACTCACAAAATGAGTCTTGCATCTAACAGCGAAAAGAGCGAAGAAAGTCATTCTTTTACTGAAAGACCACCTTTGGGTTTTTTTGGTTCAATGAAAGCTGTATGGAACCTAGCAAAGTTGCTAAATTAAAAAGAAAATGTACATCTCTATACTTTTGATGTACATGTTTCTGAATACATAAATTTTTATTTGTTTGTTTTAAAAAGTGTTTATTATATCTTTTAAACACTTTCATTGCATGTTTTGAGCTTGTTGTTGGATATTTAAAAGTGTTTAAGGATTTGTTTTTAATAATGGATAGTATATCTAATAATTTGAATTGTTGTGTTCGTCCTAAGTGGTTCAGCTCCATGTTTAGGCAATGTGATGTACCTGAATGTAAGTTTTTGTACATTGCATTTTTGTGTTTCATTTTTAATTTAGCTTCTTTTTTTTTAAGTATTTTATTTATTGATAAATTGATAAGTTATAAAAATTAAGGACAATATTTGATTCAGGAATATTATTCAATGTTTTAATTAAAACTATCACAATATTTATCATTGTTATATAAAGTATGCTATATAAATTGGTTTAAAAATAACATTTTCATAACAATGTCTATAAAAATTAGTTTAGTTATTTTTTTAAGACTTTTATTGAATTTCATTTGTTTGAGTTTTCTGGTGTATTATTATGTCAGGTTGCACTGACTATAATATCAGCCTTTGCCTGCACTTAAAAAATATATATATTTGTTATATTCAATTAAATATAATCTTGCAAAATCATATGTCTGCAAGCATTAATTTTTCCTTTTTTTTTTAATTTGAAATGAAGTGCTGAAAGAATATATCTATGCATATTTTTTTACCCATAACCATCTAAACTAAAAATAGGTTACATAGAGATAAAATATAGATAATTGGTGTCAATGACCTGGGATGTAGTGGAAGAGACAGACAGAGCAATCCATTCTCCTATGGGATTTTATCCTTTTAACTGATTTGCTACTTTCCCTACCAATCTCATCTTCACATCCATTGAATAACATATAAAAAATTAGTTTTCTGTGCAGGGAAGCAAACTTTTTGCACCATTAACTGAGTCTGGAACATAAAACTAAACGATTTGTAAAAAGTATGCGCATGAAAATTTGAATAGAAGATTTAATAAAAGAAGATTTGATATTTTTAGTTGCCAGCATGTTATGATCTCTTTCTTCTTTGCATTACATTTGAGCCATTACAGTCTTCTCAATAACTGATAAAACTTTAAAATAATTGTGTGCAAAAATTTATTATTACTTATTTAAAATAATTGTGTGCAAAAATGTATTGTTACTTAACATATTTAAAATAATTGTGTGCAAAAATGTATTATTACTTAACATATTTAAAATAATTGAGTGCAAAAATGTATTATTACTTAACATATTTAAAATAATTGTGTGCAAAAATGTATTATTACTTAACATATTAGATTCCTAATGATAATTGGCATAAAACTATTTGATAGAAAGGTTTAACTTTTAAAAAATTTTAAAACTTTTAATTGTATTTTTTACAGGTTGTTGTGGTTGTTGTTCAGCTTTACGTCCTCGTTATAGAAGACTTGTAGATAATATTTATCCCTCAGATCCTCAGGTATTTTTAACTTTTTTCTATTAAATCATTTTGCTTTTATTTGCTCCATTGTTAAATGATGTATGCATTTATAAATATTATTGATTTCTAATGAAAAAAACTTATAAAAAAAAGACATTTGTGATGTTAGTAAAATCTGGGTAACAAATTTGTCTTTTATTTTATTGTGAATTATTTATTTTTTGTTTCATAGTGATCAGTCATGCATTATTAATTTATGTAAAAAATGCCTTAAAATTTTAGAACATTACATTGTTAGCAACCATCATAAATTTTTCTAGTTTTCTATTTAAACGATGTTTTGAAATTAACTGCCAATTATCTCAACATCTTGTAGCTAATTATCAACAAAGTATCCAAATTAAAGTAAAACTGTGTCATTAAAAGTGTCAATTTATTTTTCGATTTTCTGTTGTTAATTATGTGAGTACAATTTTTTTGTTTTTTTACAAACTTGAGATACAGAAACTTTTAAAATATTAATATAGGGTTGAATAATTAGTATCTAGATATGTTAGTACTAAAAAGTAATAATATCTCTGGACAACTACATCTGGTTATTTCTTATATCATTGTTGTATCATTGGTTAACTTCTGAATTAACTATATATTTAAGAAATAAAATGTCCTTTCCTTCCCGGAAATATGTAGGTGTTTTTATTTAACTTTTCTATTTAACTGTTTTAAGATCTTTAGATTTATATTTTGTAATAATATTAGTTAACTGTTTAAAAATCCAAAAGCTAAGATTTATTTTATTTTATATCTCACAATTAATAAAATGATTTGACTAAAGAGCTAATGTATTTATTGCTCTAAAAAAAGTCATTATGACTTTTGTTTCATAATTTCTGTCATTAAGCTATAGAGTATAGCATGAAGACAATTTTGAATTGACGTATGTAAAACACGAGCTATTTTTATTTATAAAATAATTTTTATTGCTTCAATTATTAATTACAGGTCTTATTCTGTTTAATGAATTTTAAAATAATTCTGTTAGGATCAGTAATGATAATCTTGAATCTTATTTTTTCCTTTTGTAACTTATTTTAAAGATAAACTTTATTGCAAACACTTTTCTTTATTCTATATGTATAATGATTATGAGAAAATAAAACTTAGTCTAAAACAGGTCTTATTCTGTTTAATGAATTTTAAAATAATTCTGTTAGGATCAGTAATGATAATCTTGAATCTTATTTTTTCCTTTTGTAACTTATTTTAAAGATAAACTTTATAGCAAACACTTTTCTTTATTCTATATGTATAATGATTATGAGAAAATAAAACTTATTTATTTGAATTCAAATTTTACATAAATGTTTTCACCTCTTTAGGATGGTCTTGTTCGTAATAATATGGAAAAACTTACATTTTATGCCCTGTCCTCTCCAGAAAAACTTGATCGTATTGGAGAATACTTAGCATGGAAAGTGTCTAGAGACATTGCTCGTCATCGACATGGGTGAGTACATCTTAACAGGTGTCTGCTGTCTGCATTTATCTTATTTTTATTTCTTCCTTGTAATTAAATTTTACTTTCTATCATTGCAATAAAATTTGGTCATTTGAGTATTTTTTTTTAATATGAACCAGGGTTTGCAGATTTTTGTTTGACCCTGTATTAAACTACTAATTTCATAAAGTCTTTGTCAAGTCCTGCCATCAAAAACCTCAAATAATACATTTTATGATCTTAGAAATATTATGAAATTACATCTTATGATTGAATTGTCTGTTATGTTTTGATGGTAATTGTAAACATAAAGTGATATTGTTTTTTCTAACCTTCCTATACTTATAAAGTAAGGTTCATCTGTATTTATGTTCCTTTTAAAATTTATACCATCTTTTTTATTACCAAATTTATTTAAAAATTAAAAACAGTTGCAATATTTTTTTTTATTACCGATTTTGATATCAAAAACTAGTTTTTGATTCATAAAGTCAATCCTGATACGGACACATGCTTTTACTTAGTTGAGTTCTATTTGTATCGAATTTAGATATTTACAGATTGGTACTTCCTTATTATGGTTTTGAAGTTGTACCAAACTGTCAATTTAAAGTACTTTAAAACTTGTGTGACAATTTAATTTATCTAAATTTTATATTTTTTTCTATCAGGTTTGTTATAATTGCTATGGAAGCTATGGATCAACTCTTAATTGCCTGTCATGCTCAAACTCTGAATTTATTCGTTGAAAGTTTTCTGAAAATGGTACAAAAACTTCTTGAATGTCATGAACCTGACATGCAACTACTTGCAGCTCAGTCGGTTAGTATTAAAAGTATAATACTATTTACATAGTTACTTTTTTCTTTTAACTTTGAAAAAATAAAGCTAAACTATTCATACACATTTTTTACTTTCACCTGAGTGTAAACTACATTTACATGTCTACATATATATTAACTAACTCGTAGCCCAAAAATCTGCAAAATTTTGCATTTGTCACAAGAGAAAGAAAACTACAAGTTGTATCATAATAAAATTAAAACTTTATATATATTTCATAAATTAAATTTAACAAAATCTCCATTTATATCGAATTAAGTGACCATTGTTAGGATGTTATTAAAATAACATTTGATTTACTTAAAACTATAATGGATATTTCCGTTAAATTAATTTTTTAATTAATTATTTATAAATATAAAAAATATGTTTTGATGAATAATTAATGTTCAATTTGTTCTTATTATTCTTCACAAATTCATTGTAATATTGGCATGTACTTATTAATTAAATTTTTTTTCTTTTACTGCAATGTAAAAGAATAAAAGTGCGTACATTTTATTTTATTTTTAATTATTTCTTTTAGTTTGTAAAATTTGCTAACATTGAAGAGGACACTCCATCTTATCATCGTCGTTATGATTTCTTTGTATCGAAATTCTCTTCTTTGTGTCATTTTTGTCATGATGATCTCGACATGCAAAACAGGTATTTTGAATTTTTTATACTCCTTTTAAAATGATGATATTTGCACTTTTTAGCATTTTAGAATCAAGCTTTAAAATTTTTTTATACTAATGTAAAATGTGCTTTTTAGCAGTTAAGCTTTAAAATGTTTTATACTGTTGTAAAGTTTTAATATTAGTGATTTGTAGTATTTTAACTATAAAGCTTTAAAAAAATTTATACTAATATAAAATATAATTGTTTGAGCTTTTTAGCAATTTACTAATTTGAAATCAATCTGCTGTTTCAATAGTGCCAAACTAGTAGGTTTGTACTATTTTAGCACTAATTACTTGATTGATGATAATAATATTGTTGATAAATAACAATGCAAGTAAAGAAATGAATTACGATTATTATAGGCTTAATTTTGCATTTGTATAATTGGGATAGTTATAATTAACTCTCCGTGTTGAAATTATATGAGAGTGTTGCAGTATTCATCCAAACACTCAGAAATATCCCGTTATCCTTTCCACATGAAGCAAGGTCCCTCTTAAAACCCATTGGGTTATGGGATTCTTACAATACTGGATACTAAAAATGTACTTTTATTTATAGACTGAGAGTTGCTGGTTTGAAGGGGATCCAAGGTGTTGTGAGAAAAACAGTCAGTGATGATTTACAAGTGAATATTTGGGATGATACTCACATGGAAAAAATCATCCCTTCATTGTTGTTTAATATGCAAGGTCACTGGTGAGTCTCATTTCATAAGTCCTTACATCTATTGCATGCTTGTAACAGAATTTTTTTGGCCAAAGTTGTCCTTTTTATTAAACTAGATTTGGTCAGGTTGGTTTAATCAGTCTTAAGAACACTATCATTTAAACATTTTGTTAAAGTTTTTTGTTGATAATATTTTATTAGTTGTTTTAAGAAAGTATGCATCACAATTTTCTAAGCAATTTTTGACCATAATATTACTTTTAACATCTTTCTAACACAATATGAAAGCCTTTAAAATATGAATTCTGAAAAGGAACTATAAATTAGCTATGCTAGATAAAAAAGTATTATTTGTAGATACTTTTTTCTTCCACATAGAAATATTTTACACTACTTCATCTTTGTAAGAAATTGTACTTATACATTTATGAAATGGAAAATAACAGTTACAGAATATTACATTTAAACACATTGTTGTATTAACGCAAATGCGAGATGTTATCCCTCTAACACTTTATCATCAAAAACTATAAAAGTTTAATTTTTTAGCTTTCCTATATTTAAATATAAAAGTTTAAGACTATTTCAGGTAAGTTGCCCCAAATAGTGAAATATAAAAATTATCACATTTTTTTTAAATTCGGAATCTGAAAGTCGAACGATTTCCTACTATTTAACAATTTTGGTTTTCTAGAGTTAAATAATATTATTGTTTAATTAATACTTTTTTATATAAAGCACATTCTAATTATGACTGAGTGTCAAAACCAAAATGAAGTAATTTTTACTAAGTCTCAAAAATATTTTATTTAATATTGCATCTGAACCGCAGAAATTATTCAATTCAGCAAAGCATGAAACAAATTATGTTTTGATTAATCAATTTATTCCACACTGTATTGCAATAAATAAACTTTTTGTTGCCCCTGAAAATTTTCAGCTAATTACGGAAATTAAATATATTAAGTTAATCAAAAAATTTTAAATCAGTTTTATTTTCTGTTAACTTCCCAATCATAATGATCTTTGTTTATAAAATAATTATTCTTAACTATTTCATATATAATTGTAATCTGAAATAATTACGAGTTAAATATTTTTTTGTGATAATTATTGTTATAAGCTATGAAATTTTGATTTGATTGAAAATGTTTTTCATGATTTTGCTTTTTAGTGGAGGCTTGACAGAAACACCGGATTCCCCTCAAGAAGAATCAAACCCATGGTCTCTGGCTGAAAATTGTATCAGGGAGCTCATGGGACGAGCTACTTTTGGAAATGTTCCTTCTGTTATTAGACCTGTTTTGAAGTAAATTTTACCTTTATCTAATTGTAATATTTTGTAAATTATACTTTGTTAAAATTTATAATTAAAAAAATCAAGTATGCGGGCATAATAGATACCAGAGCTTATGGCACAATTAGCAATAAAACCTATCCAACCAGTAGTCCTTTATAGTAGCAAAAGCTGGACATTGAGTAAACATATTCAAAGCGGCTTGTAATTTTTTAAAGAAAAACTCTATGAAAAAATTTTGGTGCTGTTCAAGAAAGTAATGTAAGGGAAACTCTCTACAATCATGAAATTTATAATCGATATAGGCAACTAGATATTGTAAAAGTCATCAAGTCAAACCAAAAAAAGTATTTTTGTCACTTATTTCAATTTAAGAGTTGCAACTCCAATTAGCTGTTAACCTTTTACAAGCCATGTGACACTAGAAAATGGGAAGAAGTGCGACTCATACGGCGCGATGACATTGAAAAAGATCTAACAACATTTAAAGAAACTAGTTAGAACTACCCTGGCCTGCTCTAGGCTGTAGTGCCAAGAAGAAGAAGATATCAGAGTAGGGAAAATGTAATTGTAGGATTAAGTTTAACTGGTTGCCAATAATCAGTTAATTATATGTAATCATGATTCTAAATAAATATAAAAGGCTTCATTTGAATAGTGAGCCAACTCGACTTATTAAAAAAAAGAATTAGCCTCACTTTCATAAGCCTCAGTTTCTATCTTATTTTAAAAGTAGTGCTCTATGTCCATCTTATTTCAACTGCCAAACAGATGGCTTTACGAGACAAAATTATTTTAAAAAACAATACTCATTAGACTATAGGGCTCTGTATTTCAAAATAAATAATGAGTTGGTAATATTTAAAGAAGGCTTTCAGTTTTTTTTTTATTTTAATTTGAATGTTGAATATAATAAATCGTAATTTTTTCTTACATTGTTATCTTAGTTAGAACACGTGTCAAACTGTCTCAACTATTGAATTTTGAATACTAGAAATAATTTACAATTACAGTACAATTAGGATCAATTGAATTACATTTTGCTCAACTATCCTGGATATATGCAATCTATTTTTGTGCATGTAAAGAATTATTTATTGTACTTATAAAGAAATTTGCCCTTTTTATATGTATCATAATAATTCATTATTATAATCGTAATCATAAATAGAACTAATATTCAACTTTTATTACCTATAATAATGCTGTACAACTTTAGTAATTAAAATTAAGTCAATTACATTCTGCTCAACTCTGCCAGGTATTTACATTGAAAAAGCATTTAAACACAATTATCTTGACCTGTATTACACTAATTCCCTTTTTTATCGATGCCCAAATTAAAGAATTGTTTTATGTTATTAATAAAAAAAATTTATCTCATAGCATAGCTTTTTAGTTTATTTAAATTCTATTTCTAAATCATTTTTAAAACTTTTTTTATCTTGTATTGAGAGGGAATTTAAAAAATTATATGATATGTTTTTTATCTCGACATACCAAATTAATTGTTATTAGTTGATAATAAACTGGCTTTTAACAAATAAGATGTAAATTTAAATATATAATTTGACATCATCATCAAAGTAAAAAATTTGTTTTTTTACCTACTCTGTAATTTATGCTATAAAAGTCAATATCTAATATTTAAAAAATATATTGATTCTTATTATAAAATTATTAAATTCCTGTTTCAATCAATTTGTGATTTATTGTGAAGTTACTGACTATGAAATCTTTATAGGCATTTAGATAATCATGAATTATGGGACCCCAATGATTTTGCTGTTCATACCTTTAAGATTATTATGTACTCAATTCAGGTAAATATTCAGTTCAAATTTTATTTTATCTGTATCATAAAAACTATTCTAACTACAGTACAGAACCCGTTATTCGGAAATCAGAAAACCAAAAAACCGGAACAAAATGCAAGCAATCCCCCCCCCTTTTTTTTCCCTCTTAAGATTTCAGGAATTTTCGTTCTTTTTTTAAGGATGTTTACCTTACCATCATTTTGGAAATAATCATTAGTGTATTACTTCATCGTTTTTTCTTCTTTTTAAGATTATTTCGAAATATTTTTTTTTAGTTGGGTTTCACAATAAAAATAAAAAAAACGGCTCTTTGTAGAGATTCAGAAAACTGGAAAAATCAGTTATCCAGGATAGTGATGATCTCGATCGTTTCAGATAATCAGTTCCCTACCAGTACAGAACCCGTAGTTGGGTTTAACAATAAAAAAACTGCTTTTTGTGGGATTCAGAAAACCGGAAAAATCAGTTATCCGGAATAGCGATGGTCCCGATCGTTCCGGATAATCGGTTCCCTACTGTATATTGTTAGTCTTTTTTCTAACTCTAATGATTTTAAAACGTTATTAAAATGTTAACAGGGTTTTTAACACTTGACTATTTTTGATATTTATAGGTTCAATATTCATATGCTGTCATTCAGATACTAATGAGTCATCTGGATGAAAAGTCTAGAATGGATGAATCAGAAAAGAAAAGAAGAAAACCAAAAGCAGATGCCAAAGTTCGAACAGGGATAGTTAATGTGCTTGCTAATATAGTTTCTATAGCTGCAGGGGAAAGTATAGGTAAATATTACTAATGTAATTTATACTGCGTTATATGTTCTCATATTTACTATTTCAAAATTACTGAATTTTTAAGAGGTTACCATGAAAAAATAGTTGATAATTTTAGTTTTTTTAATTTCATATTTGTTATAGATAGTCTTTACATTAAAACAATTTTTTCAGGTTGTTTGAGCATGGTGTGTTAAAAATTAAAATACGAAAGATATTACCCTCAACTTAAATATTATTTTTAGCGGACAAAACAATAAAGGAGCCTGTCAGATTCCAAATTTTCTACAAAATTTTTTATTGCATTTTGACTGGAGACAGTATATTTTTTTTTAATTAATATGAGAATCTTGAAACATTTAGTATCACTCTTCTTCTATGTGGTACATAATGTGGAAAAAAGGACACAAACTTCCATTTGCCTTTCACCAAAAATTAGAAGACCTGGACTTATACTAGACCAAGAAATTAATTATGACTGGTTATAAATAGTTTACCCTTCTTATGATGCAGTCTAAATATGATTCGTTGAATTCAAATTAGAAAGTTTTAGTTCTATTAAATAGTTATTTACTTGGAAGGTTTCATTAGAAAGAAATAGACCAATTTTTTAGTAATTATGAATTGTTTAATTTAATTTTGAGTTGGTCTGTCATTTATAAAGGATTTTGAAACATTCATGTTTTCACCCTCAACTTTTAACCATTGCATCGTGGTCCATAATGTTCTGCCACTTTAGAATAGTAAACATTATTATTATTGTTTGTTTGTTTGTTTGTTTTTTTGAAAAGGATAAATAAAAAAAAGAGGGGCAGTAAACAAATCCAAATTCTATTGATAAGATTTCCTTTTTTATGTTGTGAAATAAACTCTAAGGAAAATTAAAACCAGTTTGACTCATTTATTGACAAATTAGATCTAGACATTTTTGTTGTAACCCTTCATCTTTCTGCTTCTTTTTATTTGCCCATTCCACATTTCTACTTTCTTGTACATTAAAAATACAATTAAAATATTTATATGTTTGAAAATTTCAAAACATAATTCTATACTTCATGTATAAATATTAGATAATTATTTTTGCAGGTTTAAATATTTGAAATTTTTCTTTTACAAATATCTTGTGACAGACCATAAACAAATAATAATTTTTATTACTATTTTTTTATGCATTGTATATGTTGGCACAGTATTTAAGTAACTGAGTTCTTGAGGGTAAATTTTCTTTCTTGCGATTGAAAACATTATCTTATCAGAAGCTATTACTGGCCTATTTCAGTTTTTTCTTAAAAATAAGGACTCATCATATTACTGCATTTTTATAATTTTCATAATGGTTTATTATGTTATGGATAGTAATTGTAGCTTAGATTCTCTAGCTACTTGTAAATATCTAAAAAACTTAAAAATCAATTATCATATAATCAATCAATCATAAAATTCAATATCAATCAATCATAAAAAATCATTTATCTGTAAAACCTATTATAAATGCAGCTTCCAATGAATCAAAATAAATATAAGTTGGGAATATGAATTTATATTTGTCAATTGTTTATTATAAGTATTATCTTTTAATTAAGCGTTTTCAATATGAATTATTTTTAATTCTAATCAATAAAACTACAAAAAGGTGTTATTTGGTGAACCCCTTAAATAATAACGTAAACAGGCTATCATAGCCTTGCTTGTATCACAGCTTTCAGATAAGCACTGCTACTTAGACTTCAGATAAGCACTGCTGAAATGTGAAGAATATGTAGTTCTAACTTTGTTTTCTTTTTATTATACAGGCCCCTCAGTTCTAGAAATTTTCAATTCGCTGCTTAATCACTTGAGGCATTCGATAGATGTACATTCTACTAAAGAGAAAGACCTAATTGATGAAAAACACTTCCAAGATTGTGTGATCAATACTTTGGGTAAATATTTTTCATGCTTCAAATTTAGAAAATTTATAATGCTTCTTTTTATGCCTTTATTGGTCAGGGATGAGATTCTTCCGCGGATTTCCGCTTTTTTTTAGATATTTCCATTTTTCCCGCTAATTTCCGCCGAAATTATTTTTTGCACAAGTTAAAATATTTTATGAGGAATTTAATTTTCCGCGGAGCGAAATTATTGAAGTCCTCATTCCTCCCTCTGAAGTTTCTCTAAAAATCATTTCCTTGGGATAAAACTGGTTGACCTTTATACAGGGATGAGATTTTTTTCGCTTTTTTCTCTCGAATTTCAGCCTTTTTATCAAAAACTCAGATTCTCTAAAAGTTTCGTTTTTTTTATTTATTTATTTATAAATATCCCTTTTTTTTTAAAAAAAATTCAGTCGTTGAAGTCAAATTATTATATTTATTTACGATTTTCAAAGAAAAACAGAAAATTCAAACTACGTCCTAGCTGCTAATCCTTCCACATGTTTACTTATATTAGCTATTTTCTATTATTATATTAGCTATTACTATTTCACGCACAGAAAATAAGATTTTCCGTATTTTTTTATCCGTCGGCGGGATAGCTTGTATTTTCGTAATTTAGACGTCGCTGCTTCTTGTATTCTGGAGAGAAAGCAAACAAAAAAAGCGAAAAAAAATTGAGGTGGATTTGTGGCGAAAATATTTATTTGCTCTTTCAATTAATCTTGTAAATTTTTATTTATTGTGTAAACAAAAAACAATTCAAACAATCCTTTTAGAAATCCCAAGTCCCGACTCTGCAAATATCTCGATTTTTATTCACGCGATTTTAATATCAATAATCGATTTTCGTATTTACCTGATTTAAAAGTTGCGCATTGCAATTCTTATTTACGCTTTTCAAATATCGTACATTATGACTCGTATTTACGAGATTTAAAAATCTAATATTGTGTTTCGTATTTTTACATTTTTAAAATCGCGATTTTATTATCAAACATCAATTTTCGTATTTACCTGATTTAAAAGTTGAACGTTGCGATTCTTATTTACGAGATTTAAAATACCAATTTCGCGATTTGTATTTACGAGCTTTTAAAACCCTATGTAGCTACCCGAGCTTAAAATCCAATGTCATGATTCGTTTTTGCGGTTGTAATATCACGCGATTTTAAAATTATGATCTAAAAATTACGCATCATGATTTGTATTTTCGCATTTTTTAAATTCGATGTAGAGTTTTATATGCATGTGATTTAAAAGCCTCATATCGGGATTTATAATCACATGGATTACAAGTTTAAACAAAAATTAGACAAAAAAGTGCGATTTATATATATATATATATATTCTTGGATTTCCTCTTTTTTACTTTCTGACTGCTCTCATCCCTGATTGGTGGTATTTAAATTGTCATTTTTCTTTTTAATTACAAATATTCTAAATAGTTAGGTTAAAATATTTCTCTAACGCAATTCACTATCAAATACCATAATATTTAGCATGAGATTCTGAACTTGTTTTAGCAGTTGATATCTTGTGTTGCTTTGTGCCATGAGGAGGGCATACAATATTTGCAGCTTTAAATATCGACCAATTTTTATAAATATTTTTCTGCAGGTTTAAAAAAACATGTTAAAAGTGAACTAGCATATTTGAGGCCATTTTCTGAATTATTACACGTTTACATTAATATTTTTAAAAAAAATTATTTTTCTTCTTCAGTTACCATAACTGATTATTAATACCACAAATATCTAAATGACCAATAGATCAATCAACTTAAACTTTTTAGTGTAAAGGAATGCATTTATTGCCCTTTTTTAAAATATTATGAATAGGGTCCTATAAATTATGCGGAAATTTTTTAAAAATTATGCGTCTAGGATGCGGCGATTTTTTAAAATTATGCGGCAAGGATAAAGAAATAGACCNATGTATATTTTTTTTAAAAAAATTTTTTTTTCAATCAGAAACTTTTTTAAGAATTAAATGAATAAATGTTTCATAAATACAATTGTTGCTACATGTTGTTTAGATTTTTTGTTTACTATTGGACTAAAAAATATGAGTAATTGGAGTTTAGAGACTAAAGAATTGGAGTTTATGGAATTGTAATTGGAGTTTAGAGGCTAAAAGAGTATTTCTAGAGTCACATATCTTATGCAGAGACTGCGCTACGCCTTCGCCAAATGCGTTGGAATTGTAAATTTGGCAAATAAAATTGTACTTGGGTGAAAGATTTTTTCCACTGAAAAAAATTTAAATTATGTCAAAATGAATTTTTCTAAACAAATCAGTATTTTTAATTCAATTACAGTAATTTTTGGTAGATGCGCCGCATAACCAATTAGAATTGGGTCCAAATAATATAAGCCTGAAACAAACTACCGTAAAATAGTTTTCTATGGGAAAGAAATTAATCATAAAAAATTGTTGACAAAGACTTTCGAAAATCGGCGAATACTTATGATATTTGGCTAATTTATTGGCTAATAATGTGAAATTCTCAGTGCATTCCTTGCTTATGAATATCATAATTAGGAAAAAAATGAAGTAGGTCATAACTTTTTTTCTTCAAAATGTCTCATAATGAATGTCAAAAATTACTTTAATGAATTACCCAGAACTAATGTTTTCTGTTAAATTAGATTTTGATTCTGTTGTGCCATTTACTTTTAATTAATATGTAAACTAGTATATGTATAATTCATTTTCCTTCTTTCTACTAACATTGTAAAAATGAATGAAATTTGGAGACATTCATGGATTCAGTTTTGTTATTAATTATTTCAATGTTTTTAACTATATTAATTTTTCATTTCCACATTTTAGATTGAGGTTGTTTATATAACTTTCAAATCAGTGACTTGTTATTCATAGAAAGGCTTTAAGTAATTATATGAATATTTACATGAATATTTGAATCCTGTTGTAGGCGCAAACCTAAAGACTAGAACAAAAAATTTAATGCAATATGACTTAAATATGCTGTTTAGAGCTATGCTTTAGTCTATTAGTTCATGTGATTTTACAATTATCTTCAATTGCACTACTGTACAATATTTCAAGTCCTCTTGAGTGTGGTAAATTGTATGTGAATTCTAATTGTAGTGAATTCTAAAATGAATTGTAATCATTAAATCAATCAATCTAGTTGTAAATGTTTATTATGTGCCTGTACAATCTTTTATTGTTGTCCACAGGTGAATTTGCAAACAACTTGCCTGATTTTCATAAAATAGAAATTATGATGTTCATCATGGGTAAAGTGCCTAAGGTACCTCTTACCGCAGGTGAATCCCAAGAAGCTGATGTACTTTTGCAAAAGATACTTTTGAAAAGTTTATTGAAGGTATTATTCTACTGAACTTTCATTTGATCCTCTTTTTAACAAATTTTATAAGAAAATGTTGCAAGAACTTAGTTAAATTGTGTTTTTAGCGATTGATTGTGCAAGTTTAATGATTTTTTCCTTTAATTTTGGTGATATTTAAATCTTGTTCAAAGTTCAAAAGTTTGTAAGTGCTTCAAAATAGTTAGAAAGATATCCAATTTAAATACTGACTCTTACATCTAATATCTGTAATAAAAATTTTGAATTTTAAAATTTGTTTACAAAGTTTATCATATGTTGCATTGTTAATTTGAAAAAACAACAAAACAATGTTTTCAAAATAACCACTTTCAATAACAATGTGTCCCAGACTGGGGGCAACATTGCAACGATTTCAAATGGAATAATCTGATATGATGTAAAAACCATTGTTTTATCGTTTTTCCTGTCAGTTGGGCTATCTGTTGACAAGAAGTGTAACTAGTTTAAACATGTGAGTAAAATAAAATATTTGGTTTCCTAAATCGAACATAATAAACCATACATTTCTATCAACTTCAGTCTTTCTATGAATTATTTTTTAAATTATCTGTCATTTTGGGATATATTAGATAACTCATGTAAAAACTTTTACAACCTGTGTTAAAGTTTTTTTTTTTTTTTTTAAAAAAAAAGGCATTTGCGTTAGTTGTTTACATAAAAATGAAATGAGTTCATCTCTTTTTTTTTTAAATACTTGACAGCATCGTTGCCGATCCTTTATTAAATCAGTGCTGCTAATGTCAATAACAAAAAATATTTAGTTTGGAAAAAAATTTATAAAGTGCGTCCCTCATTCATCTGCTGTCTATCCCTACTATTATTCATATTTATTTAACTATTTCATCTGAAATTCAAGTAAAATGCTTCTCAAATATTACAAAATCTTATTTATTTTTTCAAAGTTACCAAGCACGTCTGTTTGAATTAACTAGTAAGTTTTAAATATTTACTTCAAAGTTATTTGAATTAATGCTTTTTTTTTTTCTTCTAATCATAAAAGTCAATGAATATTATTAATGTAACTTTAATGTTTTTGTTTTGAAAAGACTTTTTGATTAAGAGATCAGCATAAAAAAAATTATTCAAAAACTGCAGCTAAGTCAATTTTATTGATCCCAGATAACAAAGCATTTCACAGTACCGTTAATGCCTCAGAACTTTAACATCTCAAAGATAACAAATGTTAAATTTTGCTGTTAAATTTCAATGAAGTTATAGAGTATTTTTATTTTTCCTACTTCTAGGTTGGAACAAAATACAGTACAGTTCAAATGTCTCAGGCATTTCCTTCAGCTTTTCTTCAACCCTTGCTGCAGATGTCATTAGCTTCTGATACATCTGTGAGATTAGTTGTTCAACAAATTCTTCATACATTGCTTGATCGTCATGATTATTTAGCAATTCTTACAAAATTATGGTAAACATGTTTGTTTTCTTTATTCTTTGTGTACAAAATATAAATTATTTTATGAACATATTTCTTGCACTTTGTATATTTTTTTTTATTGGCTTATGTCATATTACATTCAATCTTATAACTTTATTGGTGTTTATGTGTCATTATATAATTTCAAAATATACTCAAAATCACATTACAATTTTTAGGTTTTGGAAAGAGTTGGGTGATTAAACCATTTGTTATAATTTAAATCTTATTTTGTTATTTTCCATGGAAAAAATTAAGTTTTTGACCAAAAAGTTAGTTGTTTTAAACTTAGTGGATACCCATGGTGCGTAGCATTTTGAAAAAGTGCTTATTTTCGTTACTTAAAAGCCTTTGAAGGTGCCTTTTTCATCGTGCTTTTCACATTGTTCTATTAAACGTTTTCACAAATCATTTCGTAGTACCGTCGATCCATAGCGTATGAAAGCACTAATCATTTTACATGTTTGGTGAAATACTTGAGAGTCTGTATGTGTGTCTACTGAGCTTGGTTCGGCAAGATAATTCTCATGTGCAACTCTGATGCATTTTGCAAGATATTCTCAATTTCAGACTTCATTTTCCACCCTACTGATATCGAGCCGAAAATTCTCTTGATCATTTTATGACGGCTAATATAATCAAGAAAAGAGTTCTTTGTCAGAAACTAGTTATTTTCTCATGATCATGCAAAGTCTTGGAAAATTATTTTTCAATTTGTTAATGTATGTACTGCTTAAAAAGTACTTATTTTTTGCTGAAAGATTTGGCTAGGCACCCTGGATATCTCTATTACCTCTGCGATATTCGGCTCTATGTTGACTCTTCAAAGCTAGTTTTGTTTTATACTATCCCTGCTGGTTAAGAAATTGCTTTGCAGTTTGAGTTCCCTTTGCTTACTCATTGCATTTATGTGTATTTTATTTAGCTTTCTAAGTTTGCTGCTACTCTTTTTAAAATGAATTTATGAAAATATGCAACAAAAAAAATCCTGTAAAATTGTTGAGCTACATTTCATTCAATTTATATGCAGTCTAATTTGATTTGCATACATTCACTTAGAACAAATTGTTCATTAAAATGTATAAAAACTAAAAAGAAAAAATATGAAGAAAATGATAGTGACTAAGTTGATAAAAATGGAGTTAATATACTAGAGTTAAAAAGAAGTTTTGGTTAAACCAATGAGTTATTTATGTCTAGCCAATCGCCATTGATAAAACGTATTTTGCTCCTGCATTCATTATTAAGTATCATTGTAACTAAAATATTGCTCTAAATTTTTATATTACCTTCTTAAATTAATAAACATAATTAAAATAAAAATATGAAACAAAGTGTTACCATGAATTATTTGTTTTTTTCCTTTCATTTCTACCTAATTTGTAACTTAGTTTGTTTCATTACCAATGTGAGAATAGAAATTTCATCGTTTTGTGCTAATATCCACATTTGTGTTTTATGTAAAATAGATATGGCAATAATTATAATATAAACTTAGTTTTCTATGGCTGTACAAGAATTTTATTGACACCTGTTACTAAATGATTAGCTAAAGTTATATTATTCTGTTACAGTATATCTGGGCCATTGCCGGAAATAAAGATTGAAAAGTGCTCAAGGCAAGACACCATGTTCTTTAAAAAGAATGGTCCTGATGTATTGATGCACATGTATGAAAATGTGCAATTAGCCAACAATACAGCTGAAAATTTTGATGCCATTTATGTTACTTTAGCTTTAATCTGTGTTGAATTTGGAACTGACAGTGATGTTCTTATTGAGTTAATTCGCTTAATTTTCGCAATTCAGGTAAGATATTTGTAAAATTTTACTTGTAAGAAAATTAACATTCCCTTCTGCAATTAAACATTGCCATAAGGTTAGAATTATAAGTTACAAATTATGATTCGAATTAAATTTTTTGAATTTCCAATTATGATTAAAATTAAGTTTTATAAGTTGCATTGTATGATTAGAATTAAATTTATAATATACAAATTATGATTGCATATTATATTGGAATTTCTATAAAAGCCATAACTTCACAAGTTATGGCTTCTATAGAAATTTCATGAATGGATTTTTTTAAGTAAAAAGAATTTTTCATTTCACTGAATTGATAATCTGAAGTGGTCTTCTGAATACAAGTTATCAGCAATATTTATTTAACAATACTGTTAAATTATTTTTTTTTAAATATAGAGCACATATAAAGATCACTTATTACTTACTGAGATATCTTAATAGGGTCAAATTTTTACTGTGCAATAATCATTTAAATTTTATGACCTTTCAGAGTGTCTTGATTTCTTCATCTTAGTTTATAATTACTAAAGATAAAATGAAATTTCTTTTATCACAGCTTTTTTTGAATAAATTAAATACTTAGAATTTTATTGAGATAACTTATACAATAACTTGAGATAACTTATATAATTATTATTATACTTTAAGAGTTTACAGTTTTACATTTTTTTAAGCAAAATGTGTTCATAATATAAAAGCTTAAAATTCATGCTTTTATTTAATAATTATCAGTAGATTTTTGTAGCAAAAATTTTTAGCTTATCTTAATACAAAAGTACATTTAAAGTAAAAGCTATTAATTTTACTTATTTTACAAATATTTGCTATCATTTTTTTTGTATAATAGTATTTTTGTAATTTAAATTTTTTTTTTATTAGTGAAAAGTGTTTATAATATAAAGAAGCTAAAAATTGATGTTTTTAATGGGCTTTAAAAATTGTAAATTTTTGTTTTAAAAAAAGTTGTTAGTTAATCTTATTACAGAAATACTTTAAATCAAAAAGCTATTGAACACATTTTTTTTTTCAAATTTCACAATTACATGCTTTTTTTCATTTTATTTTTATAAGGATTTGCCTGCAAAATCATCTCTGCTGTCATCTGGTCAACACTGTGCAATGCATATTTTAGTGGCGGGATTTCTCTATTTCTTAGGACAGCTTACAGCAATTCCCCTCTTCTGTTCCCATATTGATCAAGCAAGTATTTTTTAACTGTGCTTTAGCAGAACATGTTAACTTTAATGAATAAATTTGTGGCACAAATACAGTCAGACCTCGCTATAAGATCACCCTAAGAGACATCGCAAAAGTGGCCTTATAAGCGGGGTGACCTTTTAACTGATTCATTAGCGGTTCATAAATAGTACACATTACGATTTTTTTTTAAATGGTAATATAAACGAAAACGATCGTCCATATATTAAATATTTAAGTCAATAAATTTTAGCAGAATTAATAAAAAATTAAAGAAAGTTAGATTTTTAAAATTTTTTAATTTAAAATAAAGCTATTTACAAATTTTCTCAACATGTACATACATACATTACATCTTACGTTCTTTAAAATAATAATTTATGCAGGTCTGTCTCGTTTTTGGTTTTATTTTTTGAACAATATTTTCTAGATTTTGTAACTTGAAATGTTCCTCAACTCCCTCATGGCTTGTAAAAAAAATTAGTATGCCATTTATTGCATTAAAGGCTTCCACTTGGGTTACAGTCACAGTCTCAGGATCGCTGTCATTGTCCTCACTGAAACAATTTCAGAAATTGTAGCTTGTTCGTTGGCTGCAACATTTTCCTAGAGAGGGGTAATTACCTTGTAAGGAAGTTAAATAGGCTTTTGTTGGAAAAGAGTTTCCCTCGCCTCTGATAAAAATGACCTTATAAGCGATAATGATATTTAAAACTTGACCATATATCTGATATTCTGTAACAAAGAATTCCTATTCAGTGAGCCGGGACTTTGGAAAAGTGACCTTATATCGAGATCTGACTGTGATATGAATTCATATCTTAGTATTTTAATCAATCGTTAAATTCTTCTAATTTTTGAAGTAAAATAACTACTTACCTTTGAGTTTTAGAAAAGCATTCACTTTCTGAAAATCTTCATTCTCTGTTTCTTATGCAAGGGTAGAAATTTAAAAAATTTAGTCACTGGTTCAAAGGATTGGTAACTAAAATATATTACTTTTAAAAATAACAATATTATAAAGTACATTTAAATGAACATTTACAATGCAGAGAGTGTGTATTGTCACGATTGTGATGAAATATGCAGTTTTCAGCCGAAGCTAAGACTAAAACATAAAAACAAACAACATAAAACTACGACAGCATTGATGTCTGCTTTGGAAGACCCCTGATAATTATTTTATAGTAGTTTAAGTCAGATTTTAGTGGTCTCAGATCATTAATTTTGAGTCCTGCAAACTTGAAACTGTTTATAAAATTCATTTGTGGAATAATCATTGGAACTATTTTAAACTAATTAGTATTTTGTATCTATGGTTGACTTAGTGTGTTTTGAAATGTAAGTTAAATTACCATTAGCTAGTTCCGTGCGTGCTGAAGTCTATGCATGAGATACAAAAACACGTGTGTTTCATCTTAAATTTAGGATGTAAAAGTTCTGTTACTTAATTTTAATATTGTTAATTCCTAAGCTCATGTTAAAATTCTATTCATTGTATGTTATATGAGTAAAAAAATATTTTTTTACATTTTATTCTCATATCAAGATACTGCAGAAAGTTGCAAAGGATTTAAACAAAAATTATTGTCACAAAAAAAGAAGGAAAAAAAACATTTTAAGTTACCACAGGGTAATTGGGAAATATCTTCCAGTTTTGATGTGAAATATTACAAAAAATAATTGGCAATAAGCTAAGTTATTATCCATTAAATATGTTTATTATGGTTGAAGGTATGTTTTACAAAAAATCATTATCAGAAGGAAGGTATCGTGAAAATTCTATGTATTTAACTACAGTATTTTGAAAACATCGTTCTTTTTATCATTTTCAATTATATAAAACGGCGTGTTTTATTATTGCAGCTAAAGGCTAGTAGGCATTTGAAAGAAATAGTAATAAGAACACAAAAAAGAAATATATTACCTATAGAATTATTCTCAAATGAATATTATTTTTTAAAAAATGTATTTTTATTCAATCCAATCTAATTGTTATGTAATTTAATACACTGATGCAAGCTTATTATCTAGAAGGGAAAAAAATACCCCATATAATATTATTTAAACATTTCAATATGCATTTTAAAAGTAGATATAATATTAAAAATCCATAAGAACTGCACTGTATAACTAGCATCCCTGTGCTTAGTATATATAGTTTTCTTGCCAATTGCCTTGTTTAATTTTGATTAAATTTTACCACATTGAATTTAATACTTTTTCTTCTAATGCAATTTTAATCAGAATTAGTTACATAAATTTAATATGCTATTTTCTTGATTGTAATCTGAATTACATTCTTTTACTTTAGATTATAAAAAATCGTTTAGAAAAAGCTCCTCAGCTACTTCCAGATGACTCTCTTACCTTTGGTTTGTTCAATTCTATTCCTGACAACATTGATGAATCCCTTTTATTTGATAAGACAATCATAGCTGAAGCCTTGCGAAACAGTGGGCATGATACAACCCGTTTACTTACACCCTATATTCCTCGACGAGTGGGTAAGATAGTATAAATTATAATTTTGAGTTATGTAAAGTTTTGTTAAAGGTGCTTTGTTTGTTTTTTATCAGACCCTTTCAGCATACTATGTTTTATTTAAGAGGTTTTTGCTTTCAAAAAGTAACTGCAAAACGTCTTTGATAAGTGCAAAGTGTCCTGCTATATTTTTCATTTAAATATTGCAAACCATATTGTTATATATTTCAATCTAAAATTAAAAACCTTTTTACTTAACAGGTCAAGTCACTGTAACTCGAAGCGTTAGTGATCTGAACTCTATTAGCGTTGAAGTTGATAGCGTAAACTCTTCACCTGGCATTCCTAGAGTAAGTGATTCTTAGAGAACCAAAACAAGTAGTACATTTGTGGTTAGCAAACACCATATAGGCTCACAGTTTTAAAAATTATAATAATTTATAGATTCTATATTTTGATTATTTTATTTTGATCAACTTTGACTATTAAAAAAAAGGATTAGAATAGAAATGATGCATTTATAAAATTTATATTTTATTTTACTTAATCGATACCTTATTTAAGTTATGTATCAATTTAATCAAACATATTCAACTGAAATGACATATTTTGATTATTATTCAATCAAATTTTTGTAAAATATTCTTCGATAAATGAAATGTACTTGCACACCATATTTAATGTAATTACATTCTTCGTTTATAAATTAAGTTCTATTGATATTCTTTTATATATTATGTAAATTAATTATTATTCCTATACTCTTACATTCTTGTATCGAGTTTCGTCATTTTTGTAAATTAAATACTGAATGTGCAAGTTGAAAAAATTTATAAATACAAAAAAATAATGACACAATTACTTAAAAATTTATAAATCTTTTCTCAATCATCTTATTTTAAAGTGTGAAAACATTGCTATCTTCATTTGAACCTCAACTGTTTACATGTAGATTATATATTTCTGAAATAATTAGTGCATTTTATTAGAGTATGAAACTTTTCTTATATGCTGTTGCATAGTTTATTATTCTCAAAGCTAGTCACAATAATAATTTCCCTCTCAATCATTACATTTATTAAAATTTTACACAACTCTCGGGTGTTCCAATAAATAATTAATAGATCAATAACAAGAAACGGAAAAGAATAAAAATGTGCAATGAGCTGCATTCAGTTTAGAAAGCCAGCTTTTGCTGATCTCTCTGTGTGTGTTAAAATTAAAGACTAAGTGAGTTAACAGATGCTGCTTCAATCTAAGAAATGGTGTAAAACAAAGCTTCTAAAACAAACACTGTTTGCTGCAACAACATGGTGCAGTCATATAATAAAATTAACTGATGCATATGCATATATTAGTTAGAATGGTTAGACAAATTACAGAAAACTTTTTTTGAATTAATTGAAATTATATTTATAATTAAATGCATCAAAAAAAATATATAATCTTACCATTAATAACAAAAGGAAACTTTAATGTAAACAATATTATTTGTTGAAATTGGAGGAAAAAAAATCTGCCATAATTGGATTTAGAATTAAGAAAAAAAGTCTAAATTAATGTATAACTTGCAAATGCTTTCTGCAGAGGCATCCTGAGGAAGAAATAACTGTTGAATCTCTCAAAAGAATGCTTGCTGAATCGCCTACTGCGAAGAGACAAGCTGAAGATGAGCGTCGTTTGCGAGTCATTGAAGAGTTCAGAACTGCCGCCTTTGAGGATCTTGTAGCTAAAGCTGAACAGCAGGTACCTACTTATAAAAATATTCTACCTAATGTTACCCAATTCTTTTACCTGCAACCAAAAATCACTTTGCTACACAAGAATGTTTTATTAAATTATTTTTTATTGAATATTCATTACTATATAAAATGAAATGAAAGTTTAATGTTCAGAATGCTCAAAATCAAAAGGAGTGTTATTTATAAAATAAAACAAAGTTAATATTTTAAGTTATAATTATGTAACTCTAGCAAAATGAATTAGAGCATTTTTGTACGAAAAAAAGATCCAAAAATATTTAATATTATAATAAATAATTAAGTGAAATTTGAAATGAATAATTTAAGAATTATGTATAGAGTTGAATAATTAATCTTTCTTGCCAATATTGATGACTATGAGAAAATAAATAAATAAGAATAAAACATGATTGGTTTAACTTAATTACATTTTTACTATGATTCAAATTTTATGTTCTTAATTATAATAATACTAAATAATTGTTTCAATAATTTTTAAAAGACCTAAACAAGATCTTTGGGTGTGTTTCTAAACATTTTGGGAGAATGCCACAATGTCAACGGAATATTGGTTAATCCAGAGTTTATACTAATTGCTTTTTTACTTGAACTTTTAGTTTTATTGCCATACATTTGACAGCAGATTATTTAACAAAATCGGGGATGAGAGTAGTTGGAAAGTAAAAAAAAGGAAATTCAAGAATGAATATAAATATATATATATGTATACACACAAAAATTTGACAAAAAAATGCAATTTTTAAACTTGTAAACCATGTGATTATAAATCCCGATGATTAATATTAAAAAAAATTGCATGAATATATAAATATGAATCACATGCATGATTTTAAATTAAGAGAATATGAATCCCGAAATCAGGCTTTTAAATCACGTGAATATGAAACTCTATATCGAATTTAAAAAATGCGAAAATACAAATCATGATGAGTAATTTTTAGGTCACATAAATACGAATCACGATGCGTAATTTTTAAATAGCGCAAATACGAGTCCTACTGTCTTAATTTTTAAAGCACGTATAGATAGGAAAATCGATGTTTGATATTACAACCTCAAAAACGAACGAAACAAAATCTCGTGTGAATACTGACAGCCGAGATTCTCGCAGAATATCATATTTGTCATGTCAACAATAAAAGAGAAACGAAGTTTCTGAATAAATGAGTTTATTTAAAAACATTAGTAATAAAGAATGTCACAAACAGAGTGACGAAAAGAAAGAATACTCCAAATGATCTGCTTCAACAGAAGCTTAAATACAGATAGCAGGTGACGTCATGATCCACGCAAGAACGACCAACAGCAAATGAAAATAAACTGGCCGATCCCCGCAGACCATGACGTCACCGACGCAAGTTGAATGCATGAGATCGACGACGGAAAATCGAACCTCATACCTTTTAACTTCTATTATTTGTCTAACAAATACAAATCGCTACATAGGGTTTTAAAAGCGGGTACCTAATTACAAATCGCGATATTGGATTTTTAAATCTCGTATATAAGAATCGCAATGTACGACATTTAAATCGCCTGATTAAGAATCGCAACGTTAAACTTTTAAATCAGGTAAATATGAAAATCAATGTTTGAGGGAGGAATGAGGACTTCAATACTTTCGCTACGCGGAAAATTTAATTCCTCATAAAATATTTTAACTTGTGCAAAAAAAAATAATTTCAGCTGAAAAAATGGAAAAACCTGGGGAAAAAAAGCGGAAATCCGCTAATTCGCGGAAGAATCACATCCCTGCAAAATAATCTACTGTTAAACACTATAAAGTTTCCCTTGTACAAGTATTCTTGATGCAGATATGATTGAACTTTTTCTTTTGCTGTGCATGTATTTCTAAAAATTTTGAATCTCTTACTCTTACTGCTGCAATCTCTAAGTAATAGCTGACTCTCCAAATAAAAGTAATTACAATTACAAAATTGAAAACACTGTAAATGATTTATTGATAGTCCGTTGTTGGGGGAAAAATTGACATTTTATCTACAACTTTTTTTACATGATATCCTAATTTTGAAACTCTTTTACTAAAATATGAAATCCATCGAAATGGAATAGAAAATATAGGCCCGCATAAGAAATAATTACAGAACTTATGTTAACTCGTATGTTTTTATCTGAAAGGAATGTTATGAAACTTATTCTGCATTGCTGAATTTTTTAAAAAAAAAAACTAGAATAGGTTTAACTTTAGCGTTGTCCGCACTTCTAATATGTGAATCTTTATTGGCTGAAATGATGAATTCTTCAAAATTGAATTTCTATATTTTTTTATTCTTTATCTAGATTTCTATATCCTTTATCTGGATTTGTTTAAGTTAAATTTCTTGTACTGTCTATTATTGTTTATAGCTTTAAAGTATAGAGTAAAATTTAGTTGGTCTTTTCCAGACTGTTGACCTCCAAAACAAGCTTAACGAAATATTCGGAAGAAGTCCTGCTGCTGTTGATATCTCATCAAGGCCGAATTCGCCTCATCCAACTAGCAGAGAAGGAGACAGGCAAACACCCTTAGCACCACCTGTTTATAATATCAAATTTCCTAATCACTTCATTTACTAATTTCCTTTCAACAAGAAAAATGAGAACTGTTGCATTCCTGAACAATATTTTTAGTTGTATTTTATTTCTTCTTGCTTATAAGCTTAAAAAATTGTTACTACTTAATTTGAATTCTTAGTTTTTAATGTTACATTACAAAACACTTTCTATATAAATAATGTGCCTGTCTACTCATTTTACTGATTATCAAATATATGTCGTATTTTAAGAGTGATTTTACAATTGAAAAGATTCTAAATACGTTTGACTTCTCGGCATTGAGTGTTTAATTTTTAAAAAGAAATGTTAAGCATTTCCACAACAGCCCATTGTGGGCAAAGGGGTCATAGTGATTAAGGATCGACTATTTGGTGACCAGCAACATGTAGGCAATGCTAACAGCATTGCCCTTCAGCAGTCTTTATTTTCCAGACTTTTATCCCCCTATCTGAACTTAAAATACTTATAATTTAAAAGTATGTACTGTAAAAAAATGAATTAAAATTTTTTCTTTCAAAATAGTTTTTACAAGCAGAAGTTTTTAAAAATTATAAAATATTGAAATTTATTTTATTCATTCCTTTTTAATATCTTCTAATGGAATAGCCAATTATATCCTAAGTCTTATGTTATAAGAAAAGATTTATTAAGTTTCTGACAGATTGTATTTTTCAATTGAGTTTTTTAGGGATTTCATTTCCCCTCACAGCCCCATTTATATCCTGTTAAATTTACAACCATCTAAAATTCACTGCAGTAAACAAAAATAAAAATTGCTGTTTCTCTAGGTATTTATAGATTTCTCATTAAATACCTATTGAGTAGTAATGTATAGATTTTAGGTAAAATATGAATATCCTCTTGTTACTAGTCGGATAATAATGTCCATTCATGTAATCTATGCATGTATATGTGGATTTATCTTGCTGTGAAAAAATAATAGTAAAGTTTGTCAAAAATTTTAATTAAATAAATTGTTTAAAATAAGTTGATATTAAAGAAATTGGATGTTATTAAGGTTATAATAAGTATGAAATGCATTAATTAAAATAAATTTTTAAAGGAAACTTTTTATTACATAAAAAACTATATTTTACATTTTGTACTATTACCAAAGATATTGAAAGATTCAGTAGCATTTTTTTTTTTAATATTAGATTTAAGCAAAAAATAGTGGGTCAAAATAGAATGCCATTTTTTTAGTACCAAAAGTAAGAAAACTTTTAAGTTTATATATAATTATAACCATTAATTTCTTACTCTATTTAGACACAAAGTCTAAATAAAAATATTCTATATATGTATTAGTGTTGCAAAACTTTTTAGTTGAATCAGTGGCAGATTGGCTTTTAAATCATTTTTTGCCAGGCAATGTATGTAGGACTCATTAGGAGTAAAAATGTCCCAATCTATGACTTATTCTTGTTCAAAGATCACAATTCACGCAATCCTTTATGCTTTAAGACACACTGTCAATTCAAGTTTTTGTTTATAATATCATTATTAACCATATTAATTTAGAGAGATTATTAAGAATGTTATTGGGAATCATTAAAATTTTATTGAAAGTATATTCTATGTGGAAAAATATTTCAAATATATTTCATATGATAAATGGAAACAAATATATATATATATAATTTCTCTTCTATTTTATGTTTTAATTGCAGCATTCAATCAGTAAAATGGTGTTCAATAATTGAAGTCTTAAATTTTTCTATTGTTTTAGTATCTTTTCTTTCATTTTTGTACTGTAAATTTTTCTACTAAGATTTTATATTTAAAACTAATTCTCAGAGTAAAAATCCTAAAAGAAATGGGGTTTTTTCCTAAAATTGAAATTAGTTTATGTTGCATATTGATTTAAAGCAGTATTTTAGCAACTTCCTGAAAATATCTATGCCTTGTTGAACTGTAGGATTTGCAAATAGAATGTGTTAGTGCTTTTGGGTATACTTTCAATTTTAAGTCATGTTAGTATTATTTTATGTTTAATGATTGTTTGATTACTTAATTAGTTTATATCAATTTATTACATATCTTAAGTTTGATTGTAATTTTGTGTATAAAGAGTTTTTTATTTAAATATTTTATATCTTGTTAACTATATGTCTAGAATCTTTATGATTAAATTTTAAGTATTTATTTTATTTGTTATTTTTTATATTAATATTCTTTTTTGCGTGTATACTCATATATATACAGTAAACACCCAAATATTTAATATTCAGGGATAAATTGTCAGAAAAAATAAAAATCATCTGATATGTTGAGAAATTTATTAAGTAAATTTTCTAAATGAAATTATCAAAAATAGATTGCGGTAAAAAATTAAGCAAATAAAATATAAGAAAGTAACTTATAACAAAAGCTAATATTTAAATAAAAACAAGGCTACTTTAAAGGAGAGCAATCTATATTTGTGTAAATTTGGTTAAGAGTATTTATTTTTTTCTTTTAATGCTTAAAACTTAAGTGTAGCATATTATTGTTAACTAAAATTTTTGAATATTCGAAAGTTTACTGCTTAGTCATGAAACTACTAATGTATTTATACTAATAACAAATACACAGCAGACTTAAAATTTAATTACAAAACACTGTCATAGGTAAATTATTACCCATAAAGGTCTCTTCATGTTAATGAGCTATTTTATGCGATAAGCTAATAGACGAAATTCTTGTAATTATTTGATTTATTTTCTTTTTTATAAAGACGATTTATACTTATGGAATCATTTGCAAAATAATTTATTTTCCTAATTAAAAAAATTGGCATTTTGCATAAATGTTTAGTTATTAAAGAATTTACAAAACTAATTCACAAAAGTCTGGTGTACTATGTTTTTGTACAAAAAAATTATTGATAATGATAATTTCAAACAACATATGTTTTACCATAGTAATAGCTAAAAATTTTATAAAGTTTACATTTATTTAGACTTGATTAATTGTTGACTTTTTCATTCAAAATATATTTCAACTGATAATTCAAATGATCAAAAACAGTAAGTATCTTAATATTGACATTAAGTTTTTATATTTTGTGATTTTTTATTTTGCAATAAACTGTTGTTTACTGAAAAATTTTCCTCTTTTGTATTTATTTATTTTTGTCAAAGTCTATGGTTAAGAAATATCAATAAAATTGATTTTGTTTATTATGAAAAATAGTATAAGTCAAAACACTCAAGTTAGGTAGAATCATTATTCTCTTTAGAATAGAATGATCTCTTTCTCAGAATCAAACTTTAAGTTTAAAAATGTTCATTTAAAACTAAATTTCTCTTTATAAGTTAATTACTGAAAAAAAATATTAAAAGAATTAAGAATTGTTGAACTAACTGAGGAAATTATTAACTTAGTACTTAAAACATTCCACACATCCTGTTCATTGGAAGTACTTTCATCATAATTTATTTATTTATTTATTTTGAAAATTACGTCATTAAACCCCACATGCCGTTCAGTTACAGTTGCAATGAAAATTAGTTAACTTAGTAATTTTTTACTTAATATCTGCTCATAAAATAACTACCATGTGTTCTTTCTCTTGTGATGTAACTCAATTTAACAGTGTTTTCATATCTTAAATTGTATTAACACATAATTTATTTTTACAAAATTTTATTTATTTATTTAAAAAAAATTTTCTTATATATTTTAATCAAGTGGACAAAAAAACCAAAATATTGCTTCAATTATTTTATATAAAATCTTCAATCAGGTTTTTGTTGCCGGGTTTTTATAACTGTCGTTGAACAGCTGTTCCAATTTTTGGGGTTTATGACTGTTAATGTCCAACCCCGTAGCCTTGTAATTTTGAACCCAATCCAGAAGACAAGGGAACGTCTGGGTCAAGTATTGGGAGAAAATCGTCTTTATGGTGAACTTTTTAATGGAAATAACTCGTATTTGCGTTACATGGAGAGGAATGAATCTCACACAAAAACACATATTTCTTCTCAAGCTGACTGAGAGAATAGCTAAGTGGATTATTGTACTATCATCAGGTTCTTATCAACACTTATCATTCTAGGATCAATTAAAAGGCTTGGTGTAATAATGGTCATAAGTTATGACCATATTACACCAAGCCTATTGTTACAGAAACTATTTAATAACTAGAAAATATGTTAATGTTTTAAAACTCTCAATTCATTCCAAATTAAACACTTTAAAATATAAATCAAAATTATAATTTTCAAACTATTTCTTTAATGTAAATTTTCAATGCTATGTTATAATATTTTAACTCTATGAATAACTCTAATTTATGTAAAGACTATAATTCAATACTACTAATCATTATTCAGAAAAATTAAATTTTTGACTAATTAAATCTTTGACTAAATTTTTGTTATTTTTGAGACTGGATTTTTGGTGGTTACGAATAAAATTGCATTTTACAGATATTTTGAAGTTAGTCAAACTTTGATGTAATCATATTATGAGAGATTTTAAATCAGTACGTTAGTGCTCAATAGATTTTAAAATTTGTTAAATATTATTGGTCTGTTTTGTGAGAAAATGTAGCCTAAGTGTTATATACAAGTTGTTTTATGTATCTAAACAAAATGACTAAAAAATCATATTTAATAACTATTTCTTGCTAATATGCAAAAATTGAAAACTTTAAAAAATTATAAATTTCAATTGATAATTAACATTTACCTAGCAATAAAAGACAGACAACTTCTTAATCTTATTTATACTTCTTAATCTTATTTATCTAATATAACTAAAATTTGTTCTCAATTAGTGAAATTTTTATTACAAATATTAATACCAAAAGTAATTTTAGACATTAATTTAGGTTTTTCACTACTTGCCTTTTTTTTAAAAAAAAAAAGCATTTAGTAATAAAATTTAAAGAGCTACTTTTATAAAAGTAATTGTACAATATGTGTTAGTAAGATTTATTAAATAAAATATATTACAAGTAATTTTAATTAAAAGTTGCTAGAATTTTTTTTTCATTGAAAAAAACCAACATGAACATGAATGCAAACATTTAGATCCCTATTATTTAAAAAACTATTTTATCATATACTTCTAAAATATGGTGTATCAATAGTATCAACAATACTATATTTAGTCAAATGACATTTCTGAGAAAAGCTCTTATTCCATTATACTACAACAAAAAGGTTTCTTACCAGAGAAAACACAGTGAAGTCAGCTTTTGAAAATTTAAAATCTCTTTTTCTTTTAAATATATTAAAAGAATGAGGTTTTTGATCAGTATGAATAAAACTATAATAAATTAGATGGACCTTAAGTGAAAAAAAAACCTTTTATTAACAAGAAAATGGCTTTTAAATAGTGGGAACATGACCCAGACTAGTGAGATAATTCTTTCTTGAAAAAGCTTTATGTAATACATTTACATATACTACATGAGTAAGGTTTCTCATCACTATGAAGATGACTATGTTGAGTCAAACTACCTCTTAATGAAAAAATCTTATTGCATATACTACAAGAAAAAGGTTTCTCACCAGTATGAGCACGCTTGTGATTCGTAAGATTACATTTTGTGGGAAACTCTTATTATATGAAATAAAAAAATAAAGCTTCTCACCAGGATGGACACGACTGTTTTCTCAAACTACCTTTTAGTGAAAAACTTTTATTACATGTACTTCAAGAATAAGGTTTCTCCCCAGTATGAACATGACAGTGTTCATTCAGTTACACTCTTTCTGAAAAACTCTTATTACATATACTACAAGAATATGGCATCTCACCAGTATGAACACGACTGTGTTTGATCAGACTACATTTTAGTAAAAATCTTTTATTACATATACTAAAATGAACACAACTGTTTTGTTTTGTTTTTTTCAGACTACATTTTAGTTAAAAACTTATATTACATGTAACTACAAGAAAAAGGCTTCTCACCAGAATGAACACAACTGTGTTCTGTCAGACTACCTTTTTGTGATAAACTCTTATAACATATACTACAGAATAAGGCCTCTCACCAGTATGAACAATACTGTGTTTATTCAGATGCTCACATCGAGAAAAACTCTTATTACATATACTACAAGAGTAAGTCTTCTCACCAGTATGAACAATACAGTGTCTATTCAGAGTCCCTCATTCTGAAAAACTCTTATTACATATACTACAAGAATAAGGTTTCTCACCAGTGTGAACAAGACTGAATTGGTCAGACATTTTTTTTAGTGAAAAAATTTCATTACATATACTTCAAGAATCAGGCTTCTCACTAGTATGAACACTATTGTGTGCAGTGAGATCTCTTTTTTGTGAAAATTTTTTATTACATACACTACAAGAATAAGGCTTCCCACCAGTATGAACAATACAGTGTCTATTCAGAGTCCCTCTTTCTGAAAAACTCTTATTACATATACTACAAGAATAAGGCTTCTCACCAGTATGAACGCGACCGTGTATTTTCAGACTATCTTTTAGTGAAAATCTTTTATCACATATACTACAAGAATAAGGCTTCTCACCAGTATGAACACGATTGTGTCTAGTGAGATTACCTTTTTGTGAAAAAATTTCATTACATATACTACAAGAATAAGGTTTCTCACCAGTATGAACACGGCTGTGTTTTTTCAGACTACCTTTTAGTGAAAAACTTTTATTACATAAACTGCAAGAATAAGGTTTGTCACCAGTATCAGTACGACTGTGTTTAGTCATATTACGTTTTTCTGAAAGACTCTTATTACATATACTACTAGAAGGTTTTTCCCCAGTATGAACACAACTGTGTTTAATCAGAAGCTCACTTCAAGAAAAAATCTTATTGCATATTCTACAAGAAAAAAGCTTCTCACCAGTATGAGCACGACTATGTTTTGTCAGATTACTTTTTTGGTGAAAAACTCTTATTTTATATACTACAAGAATTAAGATTTTTTACCAGTATGAATTTTAGTGTTTTGTCAGACTTTTTCCTGAAAATCTCTTGTTAGAATAACAAGAAAAAGGTTTACTTACAGGATGATACTTATTCTGAAATAAATTCAGCCCTTAATAACATATGATACAAAAAAGAACATGCTGCATCAAGTCACTTACTTTAAATAAATCTTTAAGTAAAATATAATACTGTAGAAATATGATCACCTTACAGCAGGCATATGATTTATTAATAGATGCATCTGTGAAAACATTAATTTAAATTATATTGAGATGTAAATATTTTCCATTTTTCAGAAACTACTTTAATATTTCTCTTTTGTTGAAATTACCAAAATTCAAAACTAAATTATTTCACTTTATGTTTATTTATCACAAAAAAAAACTGCAGAAACAATGTACAACATTATGTATTAGATTCAATTATATTCGATATGCTATGAATAAATGCAGTTTTAGATATAGTGTAAAATGTTATTAGGAAGACATATTATAAAAAGGAACATAAAATTAGATTTTATTAGTGATTTATTCACACAGACACTGCAGAAAGATAGTTCATTATAAATTAAGAAAAGCAACAACAAAAAAAATTTTTTTTCACTTTCACACACTTAAAAGGTTTAACATTATGTATTAAAATGTAAAAAAAACTTTAATTGCCAATTTTTATATCAATGTTCTATCATGCATAATATTAATTTATCCCAATGACTGCTTAAAAAATTATTTCCATATTATGAACTTAAAACAATTAAACGAAACTACTTCCTTTTGTACACTTTTTAGAACAAAAGCTATATGTTTTACAATAAAAAAGTATAATTATGAACTACACTTGGAAACTTATAAACACACAAACTAAAAACATTAAATTTCCATATGTGTAAATATTTTTCTGTCAGAACATAATTGCAACTGTGACACACATTGCTCAGATAGTATTTACTGTTAGTATCACAACATAGATTGTTACTGCTAACATATGAATTAGATCCGCATGGAAATAGCCTTTTAAATGATGAAATTAAATTATAATCGTAAATAAACAGATCATTTAGTGAAAAGAAATATTTTAATACAGATTATAACATCAGACAAACTTCATCGCAAAAAGAGAATGACACTTCTATTGATTTTTAGATGAGTGCGACGAGCTCTTTGTTTTCGCTTACAGCTCTGTATTTTCATTTATGTGATTGAGGCTTCATTTATAGCTGAAGGTGGAAGATAAGTTAGAATTGGCTATCATCGTTGGTTTTATCGATTAATCATTACTTTAGTTTTACAATATTTAGTTTTACAATTTAGTTTTACAATATATATTAAATACGATACAAGAGCTTGCCGATGAATCATACAGTGATTAAATACCATATGAGGCGCCACCTTCTGAATTAAGCCCCTGAGCCCTTTATTCGAACCTGTTAACATAGATTGTTACTATCACAACATAGATTGTTACTATCACAACATAGATTGTTACTGCCANACAGTTTGCCCAGGTAAGGGACTTTGTTTCAAAATATTCATTTATTACTTCGAATATTTTTTCTCCAGTTGTTTTTCCTTCCAAACTTTTGCGACATAAAAACGTTTCTGTTGTATCTTTATTAAAAATAAACCTAACGTAAATAATTAGTTGTGATATTTCAGTAATATAGGTAGTCTCGTCCAGTTGTAAAGCAAATACAGATGAATTTTGTATGCGTTTTATGACTTCTGACTCGATATTTCGTGACATTTCGGAAATCCAATTGCAATTAAACAGTGAGTGATGGCGCTTCACTCTTTATATGTACACTGTATGGTATGCAGCATGCAGGGATAATGCATTTCATAAAAATTTGGCGACCCCCAAAAAACTTCTGGCGACCCCCACAGGGGTCGCGACCCCTAGTTTGCGCACCACTGGTTTAGAGCTGCAAAATACAACAAATCAATGATATTATAAAATATTTATCGAATCCTGCGGAAAACTGGTTCCTTGAAATACATCACGAGAGTTTAAAGAAGTAAAAGTCTTCGAACACACTCAATTTGGGGTGAATCAGTTGAGAATCGCAGATTCGTATTAGAGTTGGGCAAAGCGATTCATCTAATGGATTCGAATCAATAGAATCAGTTCACTTGAGTGATTCGAACAATGTGATTCAGATCAGCGATTCGAATTATGTGATTCAGATCAGTGATTCGAATCATGTTATTCAGATCAGTGATTCGAATCAAGTGATTCGAATGAATGATTCGAATCAAGTGATTCGGATGAATGATTCGAATTAAGTGATTTAGATCAGTGATTCGAATCATGTAATTCAGATCAGTGATTCGAATCAAGTGATTCGGATGAATGATTCAGATCTCATTTCGAATTTAGTAATTTGAAACACTGATTCGAATAACATGACTTAATTGCGAATCACGCTATTCGAATCAAACGCTTAGAAAAAAAATCGAAATTTCCAAAAAATTCGAAAAAACTATGCTACCTATCACTATTTTTCTTTTAACTTATGTCGATGAAGAAAAAAAAGTGTATAATATAATGTATACAATAATAGAAAATAAATTTCCTATTCATGAATTCTTTCAAATAAACAAATATATTTATTATATCTTTCGTATATTGTATATGTTGCTAATTACTATAAAGACATTTAACTATGATAAATTTTATGAAACTACTAAAGAAATGTTTAATTTTTTTT